ATACAGTAAAGTACACCCACTAAAGGCTAAACAAAATATATTTTTGGCAAAATAGTCAAAAAAAATTTGACACAACTGCAAGCTTTCAGGAGTAGGGCGTTTTTTAAGGAATTGGTCTAATGGGAATTTGTGATGTCATCGGCTTCCCCCTTGCTTGAGGAGCAATAGAGAACAAAAGAGGAAAGCTCCGCCCCCCCCACTTGTGCGATGTCATGACATACCTGGACCATCTATTGAGATGTGCGTTTTTGTTAAGTAAATCAGGTGTTAAATGAGGTGAAAATGAGACTGGAGACACCCCATGTGTAGAGCGGAGGAGGAGGACAGTGACTGCACTCTGTTGGACGTGCTGGAATGGATACCAGGCGGCAGGTAGCTTAGTGGTTAAGAGCGTTGTGCCAGTAAACGAAAAGGTCGCTGGTTCTAATCCCCGAGCTGACTAGGTGAAAAATCTGTCCATGTGCCCTTGAGCAAGGCACTTAACCCTAATTGCTCCTGTAAGTCGCTCTGGATAAGAGCGTCTGCTAAATGACTAAAATGTAAATGTAATGCCATCCAAACTTCATGTTTTACATTTGAGGACGGTTTCCCTGATACAGATTTAAGTCCTGGAACTAAAAAAAACTATTTCAGTGGAGGATCTCCATTGAGCATGCCTTTTTAATCCAAGACTAGGTTTAATCTGTGTCCAGGAAACCACCCCATATTCAAGATGAGAAATTATATAAAAAAATAAAAAAAAAGCTTACTAGTATTTTTTTTATTTTTTATGCCCAGCTCATGAGGCCCCTTTTGATGTGAGGCCTGAGGCGATTGCCTCTCCTGCCTAATGTTAGGTCCGCCACTGCACATATTTGCTTGTCAAATGTTTACATATAGACTTTAAAGTCTTAGGCAGGCGTTTGGTAAACAAACTGGATCACAACACTCATAATGTTATCACACTACTGTACACAAAGTCACAAACTCAAACACTTGAATGTCACCTTAGATGTGTCATGCATTAGAGCATAACATAGTGTTGTGGACACAGCCTCTTAACACAGTTGTTGACCTACACTACATCAGCCACGTTTCAAGGCCTAGGATACGTTGCTCAATGTCTCCTCTCCACAAGAGCATTCTGGGTTGTCTTTTTTGTATTCAGGAACTTGTTCTCTCTCAAATCACAGGATGGTCCTAGATGGTCATTATCTGGTGTAGAAGCCTATCAGACACACAGGACGGTCATTTATCTCGTAAGGTGAGTTAACCTCGTAGTCTAAAACCCCAGTTAAAACGGACCAGTTTGATGATGATTCTGGTCATCAAGTTAGTGGCTTTTGAGCAGATCTGTGTTGTGAATGTTTTTCTAATGGGCTCGTGTAAAATGTTGGGTTTATTCTTAATTTATTTTTTAATTCAAGAGCTGCAAATAATTGCCCCATACAGTGTTAAATTATAAACTATAATCTCACAGGACTTTTAAGAACTAACTATAAAACTGGTTGTTTGGGTCCTGGATGCTGATTGGACGAGCAGCGGTCCAAGCTGTGCTGTATTGGTCGTCACAGACACACCTATAGACCCTTTTTTTGGAACGTAAACAATTACAAATTCATTTAGAATGCGGCACCATTCTACATCCGGATAGCTAGCTGCCCCAGAGAACTCAACATGTCAAAGGCAGAAAAGTAAACTGAAGTGTGCTTATAAAGACGGAAAAGCAGGGTGACATGTGGCCCAGTCAGTGTATGGAGGCGGAGCTAGCCAGCCAGACACTTCAGAGGAAGTGGGCTACTTGGCTTGAATTGTGGCGAGAAGCAACAGGCCATACGGGGGGAGGTGTGCAGCGGACACTGAAGCCTCCATAGAAGCCTTCTTGTATTACTTTTATTTTTTTTAAACAGCATTGTAGGAAAAAATAAATGTTTAAGCCAAATTTGTATATTTATCAGCTTATAATGTTAGAAATTTGATGCAGTCAATTTGTCTAGTCAAAGAGGCCTAGGCTTGCAGCTTCTCTTCAGTCATAAATTGTTGCCCTAGAAGACTAATAAATGGTAGCTAATACATTATAAATAAATAGGTACAAAAATTAACATCTTAAATGATCTGTAAAGCTTTTTCTGTCAGTGTTGCTCCTCTGGACGGGACCAGAGAGGGAACACAATAGCTCTAAACGCTGTAGCCTACATTTTCTCCCCTTGCCAACATGTTCAGTTGCCAAACTAAAATCCATGTTTCTGATAATAATTATCTTCATCCTTGATGTTATAGGCCTGTCAGTGTCCAGATTTCAGTTTAGCGTTCCATTTAATCCCTCTCAAATTCAAAGGTATTATTTCAGCGCTCTCATTTCAGCGCTCTCATTTCAGCTCGCTCATTTCAGCTCTCTCATTTGTTGGCAAAGTAAACGTTGGAATACGATATATTAGTCTCTCACAATATTTTGTATTATTTTATTCTTTTATTTCACCTTTATTTAACCAGGTAAGCCAGTTGAGAACAAGTTCTCATTTCCAACTGCGACCTGGCCAAGATAAAGCAAAGCAGTGCGATAAAAACAACAACACAGAGTTACATATGGGGTAAACAAAACAAAGTAAAAAAATACAACAGAAAATATATATACAGTGTGTGCAAATGTAGTAAGTTATGGAGGCAAGGCAATAAATAGGCTATAGTGCAAAATAATTACAATTTAATATTAACACTGGAATGAAAGATGTGCAAATAGAGATACTGGGGTGCAAATGAGCAAAATAAATAACAATATGGGGATGAGGTAGTTGGATGGGCTAATTACAGATGGGCTGTGTACAGGTGCAGTGATCGGTAAGCTGCTCTGACAACTGATGCTTAAAGTTAGTGAGGGAGATAAGAGTCTCCAGCTTCAGAGATGTTTGCAGTTCGTTCCAGTCATTGGCAGCAGAGAACTGGAAGGAATGGCGGCCAAAGGAGGTGTTGGCTTTGGGGATGACCAGTGAGAGATACCTGCTGGAGCGCATACTACGGGTGGGTGTTGCTATGGGGACCAATGAGCTAAGATAAGGCGGGGATTTGCCTAGCAGTGATTTATAGATGACCTGGAGCCAGTGGGTTTGGCGACGAATATGTAGTGAGGGCCAGCCAACGAGAGCGTACAGGTCACAGTGGTGGGTAGTGTATGGGGCTTTGGAGACAAAACGGATGGCACTGTGATAGACACAGGGGCTGGCCACAGGCTGAATATCACAATCTTTCAAAATAAACAAGTCCTTCTCAATTAATACTCAAAGTAGGCAATAAAATAGAGACAGTAGTATTTCACAGTGTCTAGTATTTAAGTAGGCATAGTAATAAATCAACTCAGTTGATTTTGTTCTGAAGATACAGGATAGTTTACATAGCACAATGAAATAGTAGCCATACAGACAGTAATGGCAGTGTAGGACAATACAAAGAATACTTGTGCAATAGAGGCAACAGTGGTGTGGCTGTAGAGATGTGCCGAGTCACCTTGTGACAAGAAAATGGCGAGAATAGATACTTTATTGTCCATTTGTTAGTTCTGAAATGTGTGTTCTGCTTCTCCCAACACCATGCAGTGCCGCACCCCTGGGTGGAGAGCAATTGTGGGGGGGTTAAGTGCCTTGCTCAAGGGCACAATGGCAGGAGATGGTAAATGGGAGCCTTCCAGCTGCCAGTTCAGTTCCATATCCATTTTTGTGTCGTCCTGGGCTTGAACCTTTTGTAGTCATGGCACCGTACTCCTTCATTGGTTCTGTAGTAGTCGAGCCATAGAGCAGTGTTTCCTGATCCTTAGCACTGCACATCTGATTTAAATCATCAAAGCTTGATACATTGATCATTTGAATCGGCTGTGTAGTGTTAGGACCCAAAAAAATAATGTGTACCCCTTTGGGTCCCCAGGACCAGGATTGAGAAACATAGGTTGTAGAGGCAGACCAGCAGCTGGAAGGTTGCTGGTTTAAGCCCTGGGCCGGGCAACACGAAATAACTCCTATAATAATAATTAGTCATTTAGCAGACGCTCTTATCCAGAGCGACTTACAGGAGCAATTAGGGTTAAGTGCCTTGCTCAAGGGCACATCGACAGATTTTTCACCTAGTCGGTTCGGGGATTAGAACCAGCGACCTTTCGGTTACTGGCACAACGCTCTTAACCACTAAGCTACCTGCCTCCTCCTCATCTAGAGCCAAGAGACTAAAAGACCTTGGTGCCAAAAGGCTAACCGGGTTGGACCGCCCCCTAGCCTCCAGAACAGCCCACATTTTTCGGAGCATGGTAACGTTGCTCAATTGGTATCAAGGGACCTAACGTGTGCCACGAAAAACATTCCCCACAAATTTACACCACCAGCCTGTACCGTTGACACCAGGCAGGATGGGTCCATGTTCTTTCACTCAGTTGTCCAGTGTTGGTGATGGCGTGCCCACTGGAGCCGCTTCGTCTTGTTTTTAGCTGATAGGAGTGAAACCCGGTGTGGTCGTCTGCTGCAAAAGCCCATCTGTGACAAGGACCGACGAGTTGTGCGCTCCGAGACGCCGTTCTGCACACCACTGTTGTACTGCGCTGCTATTTGTCTGTTTGTGGCCTGCCTGTTAGCTTGCACGATTCTTGCCATTCTCCTTCGACCTCTCATCAACGAGCTGTTTTCACCCACAGGACTGCCACTGACTGGGTGTTTCTTTTTTGTTCGACCATTCTTGGTAAAACCCTAGACACTGTTGTGCGTGAAAAGCCCAGGAGGCCTGCGTTTTCTGAGATAGCCGGCTACTTTGAGTTCACAAATTAACTGACAATGACTGTTATTGGCTATATGGCTGACAGCTGATGCTTCTAGATAACGTTGATGGTTAGTCCTACTCCTTCGTTGACCAAATCCATATGACATGAGATTCTCTCTTTTGAGAGACCACCACAATTCCACAACACATGAGTTTCTATTTTTGCAAAGACTGTTAAAGTGAAATTATCTCCCCCCCAGTGAGCGACCTCCAGACGTCGCGTTATCATGAGTCGGGAGCGATCAGACTCCCAGGGGTCACTGGGCCCTGACGATGAGGTCATGCCGTACAGTGACGACGAGACGGATGATGAGTTGGACCCCGGCTCAGACGAAGAGAGGCCCCCAGGGGGGCCACAGGCTGAAGAGCCCAAGAGCGCCGGTGAGAGACTGGGAGCAGACACTAGAGAAGAGCTGCACACACACACACACACACACACACACCTCTTCCATTAGACAATCTGAGAAAACACCCTTAATACTTGTGACGCCACCTTTTTGATTCATTTGGAAATGTACCAGTTTCACCATTCAAGCATATTCCCACTGACTGTCTGTTCGTCTGTTTCCAGAGTCTGGTTGGGAAGTCAAAGCAAATGACAGAGCCTTCTGTAACCTGCCAGAGTTTCAACAAAAATACCTTTTGTGTCTCAAGAAGAGCAAGTACTCAGTAAGTATCCTCTCTCTCAGTTCCACCCATAGAAATATAATTGTTCCACCCATAGAAATATCATTATTCCACCCATAGAAATATCATTATTCCACCCGTATCTGCTGGTTCAGACATGGATCGTGTCAGACATGGGTCGTGTCAGACATTAGGCCAACGGAAAACAAGTGTTTCTTATTGCCTAATGAACACAACCTTCCTCTCAGCTTTTTATTTTTTGCTAAATATTTACTGACAACCGCAGGTTGTGCAGGAGTAATGACAGGTGCTGGTAGGCAGGGCAACGTCGTTTTAAAGGTAAGAGACTGAGGCAGAAACCCAGCCCCGTCATGTGCTTTGGTTGTTTTACAGTGTGGACAGGCTAAATAAAATGTGTATATATATGCAATGGCTCAACACAAGGCGTTGTTTTAACGTCAAGCTTTCATCCTTTTGGATTTCGTCATACACTATACCATTCCGTTGTCGTCATTGTTGATGCCGTATCGGATAGAGTGCATCACACACCGTGAGGACACATTTGTTTTGTCTTTTTTTATTTTTTTTATTTTTTACTTCCTCTTCACTGTGCTGATACGTGTCTGTCATAGGTTGGCCAACGCCTGTACTGCCTGGACCTTGTTCAAAGTGAAGGTTCTTTTAGTACAGCTCCTTAAAATATAGTAACAAGTTATTTATTAGTATTTATCAGTGACTGGCAGACTGTGCCAGGACAGGACTCGTGGTTAGTCTGTGGTTGGTCCTCTTTCTGTGGTGATCCAACTAACTCTTTTTTTTCTGTTCATTTACTTTTTAGTGAGGCTACTTTTTAACGGGCTGGGACGTTACGATGTTATCACCATACTTCGGTGCCGATACCATTTATGTATTGCGATTCTCACGATTCTATGTGTATTGTGATTCGATATTGCGATTCGATGTTCCAAACATATTGCTCATCATGTGTCTGCTGCAGAGGGACGAGAGGGCCACGAGAGAATGAGTTTTGATTAGTCATGGAAATAAAAGGCTGAAAACAACATGTTGGCTCACTATAAAAAAAAAAAAGAAGAAAAAAGATGTAGAACAAGCTATGAAGGAAAAATACTGGAGTTTTGGCGCAAGTACAGCCGACTAAGTGCGAAAATAATGTTGTGTGATATCGTCAAATAATATCCTGATATGTAACTATCGATTTAATTTATTCTTTAATATTCTTTTAATCACTATTAGTCACCATTTTAAAATAGTATTGGGTTCCCAAGCGTCGATCGTCAGAGAGTTTAGTCTGACGGACACAGAGACATGGTAGATAGTATCCACGAGTTCATCTGACTCTGGGTAAGTAGAAAAAATACATAATTGCCAGAATCTCACACTGTCTCTTTTTAAGCACCACTTCTAAGACCACTCTTATCCTTAATGGTACTTAGCCTTGCTGCTGTTTTCACTTACTTACCCCTGGGTAAAGACAATACTCTTAAAGTCATTGACCAGTACTTTAGCATCACGTTAACTCCAATAGAATAGTCTAGTTGAAAGTCTTACACTTAGTCCCACTCCTAACCTATAACTTCAGTGTTCTAGACGCAGGGTAAGTCCCAGATGGCACCCTATTCCCCATATATAGAGCCCTATGTGCCCTGGTCAAAAGTAGTGCACTAAATAGGGAATAGGGTGCCATTTGGGACTGGAGTGAACACATTTGTTTTGTTGAGTAATTTGCCTCCTTTTTCTCAGTGCTGTGGCTGCAGTTTGTTTATGCAAATTACCCTCCGCCTACCAGCAGCACCGGAAGTTCCATTTAGTTTGACTGAGAGAGACTCGGAGGGTGTCGTGAGAAATAGGGAGGAAGAGAGAGAGAGAGAGATACAGAAACTCTGAGGGTGTGGTTTCACTCTTTGCCATTCCTTGTCATTGCTAAATGTCATGCCATGCCATTTGGCACATTGCATGGAGTGGATTAGCTTAAGAAACCGGTACCCAGGCTAACTGCCTTCCATTTTTGAAGACTTTTTTTTTTAATTGTCAGAGCGGCCACTAGATTGTCTGGTCAATATAATGTATAATCTGTGGTCATACATGATAACTGAAATGTGTTAGTCACATGCGATATCTCAACTGGCCCAGTGGGGGAGGGGTGGGGGGGCGCTGCATCATTCGTTGGGGACGTCATGTTTTACTGTTGCCTTGTTTAACCATGTTTGTGTACCTGTCCTTTTTGTATTGTTTGCAGGGGAATGGAATCAAGACGTACAAATACAACGCCTTGACATTCATCCCACTGAATCTGTTCGAGCAGTTCAAACGAGCTGCCAACCTTTACTTTCTGGTCCTGCTCATCTTACAGGTAAGTCTGCTAAAGACCGCTGTGTTACGTCCAACGCTGCTTACTCACCGATTACAACAGTCTTCAGTGGTAGAACGTCTGGTTCCACTTTTAGCAAAGAGTCTTTTTGTCAGAAATCCCAGTTTTTATGCTACACTATGGAAGGAAGGAGAGAGATCAAATCAAATTTTATTGGTCACATGCGCCGAATACAACAGGTGCAGACATTACAGTGAAATGCTTACTTACAGTCCTTAACCAACAGTGCATTTATTTTAAACAAAAAAAGTAAGAATAAAACAACAACAAAAAAAGTGTTGAGAAAAAAAGAGCAGAAGTAAAATAAAGTGACAGTAGGGAGGCTATATATACAGGGGGGTACCGTTGCAGAGATTGGCTGGTTTATTGTGACCCGAGCAGTTTAAATAAATGTACATAGATTTTTAAAATGTGATGTAAATACTGACTTGTTGTTATACAACATACAGGACCCTGGCCTGAGCAGTGAGTGATGAAGCCCTATTGGACAGCAGAAACCTGGGCCCGGCTCAATGAAGGGGCTTAAAGGGCCTCAGTTCAAACCTAAACTCCTACTGTTTTACTTTTGTGTCCGTATATAAAAAAAAAAAGAGCAAAAAAAGTACAAATTGAGTGACAGGTTGGCGCAAAAATAATCTGTATCTCCGCTGCTCGGTGTCAGCACAATGGACAGAGCCGCGGTGTGTGTGTGTGTGTGTGTGTGTGTCGTGGGGCTATGGAAAGCCACTAGGGCGGTTTGGCATGACTCCTTTTGGGTTCCCATAAAAAGCGGCGGAAAAAACAGGTGCGAGTTCGAAGTCATTTGGGCACAGTGCATTGGCCCCAAGCAAACAACAACGTTATGTAAGTACACATCTTCAGCTATACGTGGTGGACAGTACAGTAGGCCAGCAGGACAGAGGAGAAGCTACTGAGTGTAAAAGACTGTTGGATGCTGTCATTGGTGAAATGTCTGAACGATTCAGCAAACGCAGCAAACATCTGGTGGATGACCTGTGTGGCCTTGACCCAGAGAGACATTACTTTCTTCTACATGTGAAAAGGGGGAAACATCTAAGCAAAACAGATTTTGGTGGAAGCTGAGTTTAGTGTCATTCGGCAGTTTTTTGCAGGCTGAAATCTGGCTCCAATGAGGAGAAATGGAACCCACTTGATATCCTGCAACAATTCTCTGGTCCTCTCTCCGCTGTGCCGATCGTGCTTACTGCACTGAAACATGGACTGACTTTTGGGGGCGTCGACAGCTACATGTGAGAACTCATTTTCCACTTTGACAAACGTGTTCAGTCAGCACAGAAGAAGCATGCTACGCCTGAGGAACGCTCAACTAATCCAACTGGCATTTTAGGGGAATCTTACAATATGATTTCGGGGAGAATGGAATGATCGATTACTCAGGGAAGTTCCACAGAGCATCAAGGAAGCTGCAACTCTTTTGAAACTGTAAAGATTGAAACAATGTAGCTGGTTGGTTTTTTATCAAAATCTTGCTTTAGTGTGTTGGGCTGTCCATTGTGCTGGTAGAGCGCAGCGAGATTTCGTGCCATTGAACCTGTCAATTCTTGGTGAAAAGCATTTTTGGAACTTCTATGTTTATTATGGTATAGCGTGATATTATCAGAATTCAATATAATTCCAATGCAAGAACCCAAATGATGCCCCCTGGTTATAGCTACATATTGGCAGGGCCGTCGTTATGGGCGGGGGCGGGGCCCACCCTATGAGCGGGGCCCACCCCGCCGTACCTCCTTCACCATCCAAATAAAATATTTAAATATTTATCATTTTATTTGACCGAGACGTGCGCCGACAGAAAGACTCATCCGAGCGAGCGGAACAGCGCCCCTCTGTCTTTGTATGTGTAGACCATGTATCTGATGCTGTCTGGACAAAAGGAGTATGGCATGTCATACTATTTCTGGCCAGACGGCATCAGATACATGGCCTACACATAGTAAAGACAGAGGGGTGCTGTTTCGCTCGCTAGTTTCAGCAGAGAGGATGAGGCGAAGCGAGCGGGTTCACTCTCGCCCAAATCTGTCCTGAATAAGCCCAATGTGTTTCTGTGGGAATAATATGCAAACCTGAGCTTGTCGCCTTTGTTCCCGCCTTTGGGACAACGACTTGCGTTGTTAGGGTGGAGCATCTTGTCATTATATACAGATCTCTGGTTTCAGCCTCTTGCAAATTAGAAAGGAAAGTTGGCGGGTGCACACTGTTGGGATGCTGGCTTCCCCTAAAGTAAACTTAATTATGTAACTACTCCTGTCTAAATAAAATAATTCAAAATACGGCGCATTCGGAAAATATTCGGACTCCTTCCCTTTTTTTCCTCATTTTGTTACGTATACATGAATCTACACACAATACATTTATTAGAAATAAAAACATAAATACCTTATTTATGTAAGTATTCAGACCCTTTTGCTATGAGACTCGAAACTGAGCTCGGGTGCATCCTGTTTCCATTGATCATTACATTTACGTCATTTAGCAGACGCTCTTATCCAGGGCGACTTAAAGTTAGTGAGTGCATACATTCTTTTTTTTCAAACTGGCCCCCCCGTGGGAATCGAACCCACAATCCTGGCGTTGCAAACGCCATGCTCTACCAACTGAGCTACATCCCTGTCGGCCATTCTCTCCCCTACCCTGGACGACGCTGGGCCAATTGTGCGCCGCCCCATGGGTCTCCCGGTCGTGGCCGGCTACGACAGAGCCTGGAATCGAACCTGGATCTCTAGAGGCACAGCTAGCACTGCGATGCAGTGCCTTAGACCACTGCGCCACTCAGGAGTATTATTCCTGAGATCACCAGATTGGATTAGACGTTAGATTGAATGATTAAAGTAACAGACTCTGATATTAATAATGCACTCTTGTTGTTATTTCCCTCTCACCAGATTATTCCTGAGATCACCACGTTGCCTTGGTACACCACATTAGTGCCTTTAGTCCTGGTGTTGGGAATCACAGCCATCAAAGACCTGGTGGACGATCTGGTGCGTGACTCATCCTCTTCCCGCTGGCCAAATCAATTCTCCACCTTTCTCTCAAAGTGTGCATTTGTAAACCTTCCCCAGTCAGGGATTTAAAAGCATGGATTTGTGTAAGCATCACTTTAAGAAAAGAGTGGAGAATCTGAACATGGCCGCCGCCCTGTCTCTGTTTTTCTCAGTCAACCACGGTGTCCTCTAGATCTTTAGTTCCCAACCAATCAACCATGGTGTCCTCTAGATCTTTAGTTCCCAACCAATCAACCATGGTGTCCTCTAGATCTTTAGTTCCCAACCAATCAACCACGGTGTCCTCTAGATCTTTAGTTCCCAACCAATCAACCATGGTGTCCTCTAGATCTTTAGTTCCCAACCAATCAACCATGGTGTCCTCTAGATCTTTAGTTCCCAACCAATCAACCATGGTGTCCTCTAGATCTTTAGTTCCCAACCAATCAACCACGGTGTCCTCCTAGATCTTTAGTTCCCAACCTTTTCCTTTCCGGGGACCACCAAATCAACATCAAAAGATCTCGAGGACCACCTTTCACAGAGTCGCGGAATTCTTTTAACATAAAATAACTTAGCGGTTTATTTTGAATCAATGTTCTCAGTGAATGTAACAGATTAAATACCTATTATTACAGATGGATGTTTATTAAACAATTTGCATTGTGAAAAGTAATTTACAAATGTTTAACATCATTATTTTCCCACCTGTTATTATTTTTTTTAAAATAATATATTAGCAAAAATAATAATAATAATTATTATTATTATTTACGCACCTCCTGCATCTAAGAAAAAGGCCTGTTTCTTCATTGATATCATATGCAGTACACACTATTTGTTGTGAAGAGATCATTGTGGTCCTTTAATCTAGCGCTGAACCCTGGCTCATGTTTTCCCTTCCTCTCCAACAGGCCCGCCACAGGATGGACAAGGAGATCAATAACAGGAAGTGTGAAGTCCTCTTGGATGGCAGGTAATGAGGACAATGACCCATAGAGATGGATAGAGATGTACTTGGAAATGACCCGGCAGCGCCATTGAGGGCTTACACCATTTTGAAGTAGTCAACTAGGTGTGACTTCCTATGGGGTAAGGAAGAATCACATAATTCCACCCAGGTCATCAGGAGGGATCAGTGAATGAATTATGCTTTACATTTACATTTGAGTCATTTAGCAGACGTTCTTATCCAGAGCGACTTACAGTTAGTGCGTGCATACATTATTAAAAAATAAATAAAAATTATACTGGCCCCCCGTGGGAATCGAACCCACAACCCTGGCGTTGTAAACGCCATGCTCTACCAACTGAGCTACATCCCTGCCGGCCATTCCCTCCCCTACCCCAGACAACGCTGGGCCAATTGTGCGCTGCCCCATGGGTCTCCCGGTCGCGGCCGGCTACGACAGAGCCTGGATTCGAACCAGGATCTCTAGTGGCACAGCCAATAAATCGCCTTAGACCACTGCGCCACTTGTGTGCAAACATTCCATAACTGCAGGTGGCAATAAATCGCCATCCTTGGCTGTATACCTGTTCAAACAACACACTCCAGGGGGCAGTATGCACCCTTTCAGTTTGTTTACCAACTCTTAGAAGTAGTAGAAGAAGAAGAAAAATTGACTACTTCAAAATGGAGATGGCCTCAATGGCTCTGCCGACCTTTGACACCATAAGGGGACAGATGCAAAGAAGAGTTGTCTAAGTCTATGGTATGAACATAGAAACTATAACAGGATTGTGTTCTATATCTGTGGGTCTGGATCTCCACAGCTCCATAGTGCAACATTATACCTTTTTTTATGTCTTACATTGTATATTGTATTGTCTGTGCTATGCATCAAGAAGACAAACTTCATGTTTTGAACATGACGTAAATCATTTAAATATGACTGAAACTTTTTCCAAACCAGGTTTCAAGAGTCAAAGTGGATGAATATCCATGTCGGTGATGTGGTTCGTTTGAAGAAAAATGATCACATCCCGGTAATGTCATATATTTGTTCTTCGACTCTGTTCCATAAAAAAATAAATAAGCTACTTTCATACAATTCTTAATGTATTATTCATTCGATTTAATTGAAACCAACCAGCCATTGTAATTTAGTTCAACATTTTTAATTTGATCATTTGCTTTTTTTTTTATTCAGGCCGACATTCTGTTGTTGTCCAGTTCAAACCCCAACAGTCTTTGCTATGTTGAAACTGCCGAGCTCGACGGGTAAGATGTTCTCTAATAAAAGTCTATTTATTGGCTTGCCTGTCCCAAACAGCACCCTATTCCCTATATAGTGCACTACTTTTGAACAGAGCCCTGTATAGAGCCCTATGGGCCCTGGTCAAAAGTAGTGCACTATATAGGGAATAGGGTGCCATTTGGGACGTAGACCAGGTCTTAAAACCTTTTTTTGTAATCTGTCATTTCATAATGGGTTTGTCAATAACTGCCCCTTGATAACATGAGAAGTTACATTGACGGAAGGTGCCTTTGTGTAAACATAAAAATTGAGAGCTGAAGTGAGATAAAAAAAAAAAAAAAAAAAAAAAGGTTTGCTGAGACTTGTTGTAGTCAGTCTGTTTTAACCCTGTTGATTACATTGATAACCCTTGTTAATCAAACGATACTATCAAAAGGCTAGCAGATGCTCCCTAGCCTGAGTGCCAGTCTGTATGTGCTATCATGCCAACTAGGAGAGACCAGATCTGGGACTAAGATAGACGTTCCCTGCATACTGGAAAAGTCCACTGGAAAATGAATGTCCGTTATTGTTTTGCAGGGAAACCAACCTGAAGTTCAAGATGGGTCTGAAAGTGACAGACGAGAGACTGCAGGAGGAGCGTCAGCTGGCACAGTATGATGGTAACATACTGCTGTACTGGGACTAGGGAAAATACATGTTGAGGATCGCAATATTATCTTAGTCGATTTTTAGAGGGCGTGTACGGGTGAGAGTGGAATCCTGAGAGCGACAGAGTGGGAGAGAGACCGAGTGGGAGAGAGACCGAGTGGGAGAGAGACCGAGTGGGAGAGAGACCGAGTGGGAGAGAGACCGAGTGGGAGAGAGACCGAGTGGGAGAGAGACCGAGTGGGAGAGAGACCGAGTGGGAGAGAGACCGAGTGGGAGAGAGACCGAGTGGGAGAGAGACCGAGTGGGAGAGCGACCGAGTGGGAGAGCGACCGAGTGGGAGAGCGACCGAGTGGGAGAGCGACCGAGTGGGAGAGAGACCGAGTGGGAGAGAGACCGAGTGGGAGAGCGACCGAGTGGGAGAGAAAGTGGGTCCACTTTTCTCTGTAGTGTCTTCCAGATGTATTTGCAGTCGTAAACTATGGGGCACCCAGGATGGCAGTTATTGTATGTCAAAGATATGTCCTGTCTAGCTGTGCAGCTAGCTAGACTATGCCTGGTCACGGTTTCCTTCACCACCCCCCAGCTATGATGGTGTGTGCATAGAAATAGAATGGCTAGAACGGACTTGGAACACCTGATCATGGCAAATTGAAACTCATTCTAATTCTATGATAGTGTGGTCACAGTTCCCTACAGCCATGATAGTGAGGTCACTGTTCCCTTGGTCTCCATACAGCCATGATAGTGAGGTCACTGTTCCCTTGGTCTCCATACAGCTATGATAGTGAGGTCACTGTTCCCTTGGTCTCCATACAGCCATGATAGTGTGGTCACAGTTCCCTACAGCCATGATAGTGTGGTCACTGTTCCCTTGGTCTCCATACAGCCATGATAGTGAGGTCACTGTTCCCTTGGTCTCCATACAGCTATGATAGTGAGGTCACTGTTCCCTTGGTCTCCATACAGCCATGATAGTGTGGTCACAGTTCCCTACAGCCATGATAGTGTGGTCACTGTTCCCTTGGTCTCCATACAGCTATGATAGTGAGGTCACTGTTCCCTTGGTCTCCATACAGCCATGATAGTGTGGTCACAGTTCCCTACAGCCATGATAGTGTGGTCACTGTTCCCTTGGTCTCCATACAGCCATGATAGTGAGGTCACTGTTCCCTTGGTCTCCATACAGCCATGATAGTGTGGTCACAGTTCCCTACAGCCATGATAGTGTGGTCACTGTTTTCTTGGTCTCCATACAGCCATGATAGTGTGGTCACTGTTCCCTTGGTCTCCATACAGTCATGATAGTGTGGTCACTGTTTTCTTGGTCTCCATACAGCCATGATAGTGTGGTCACTGTTCCCTTGGTCTCCATACAGCCATGATAGTGTGGTCACTGTTCCCTTGGTCTCCATACAGTCATGATAGTGTGGTCACTGTTCCCTTGGTCTCCATACAGCCATGATAGTGTGGTCACTGTTCCCTTGGTCTCCATACAGCCATGATAGTGTGGTCACTGTTCCCTTGGTCTCCATACAGCCATGATAGTGTGGTCACTGTTCCCTTGGTCTCCATACAGCCATGATAGTGTGGTCACTGTTCCCTTGTTTCCCCATACAGCCATGATAGTGTGGTCACTGTTCCCTTGTTTCCCCATACAGCAACGATAGTGTGGTCACTGTTCCCTTGGTCTCCATACAGTCATGATAGTGTGGTCACTGTTCCCTTGTTTCCCCATACAGCCATGATAGTGTGGTCACTGTTCCCTTGGTCTCCATACAGCCATGATAGTGTGGTCACTGTTACCTTGGTCTCCATACAGCCATGATAGTGTGGTCACTGTTCCCTTGTTTCCCCCTACAGCCATGATAGTGTGGTCACTGTTCCCTTGGTCTCCATACAGCCATGCTAGTGTGGTCACTGTTCCCTTGGTCTCCATACAGCCATGATAGTGTGGTCACTGTTCCCTTGTTTCCCCATACAGCCATGATAGTGAGGTCACTGTTCCCTTGGTCTCCATACAGCCATGATAGTGTGGTCACTGTTCCCTTGGTCTCCATACAGCCATGATAGTGTGGTCACTGTTCCCTTGTTTCCCCATACAGCCATGATAGTGAGGTCACTGTTCCCTTGGTCTCCATACAGCCATGATAGTGTGGTCACTGTTCCCTTGGTCTCCCTACAGCCATGATAGTGTGGTCACTGTTCCCTTGGTCTCCATACAGCCATGCTAGTGTGGTCACTGTTCCCTTGGTCTCCATACAGCCATGATAGTGTGGTCACTGTTCCCTTGGTCTCCATACAGCCATGATAGTGACGTCACTGTTCCCTTGGTCTCCATACAGCCATGATAGTGAGGTCACTGTTCCCTTGGTCCCCATACATCCATGATAGTGTGGTCACTGTTCCCTTGTTTCCCCCTACAGCCATGATAGTGTGGTCACTGTTCCCTTGGTCTCCATACAGCCATGATAGTGTGGTCACTGTTCCCTTGGTCTCCATACAGCCATGATAGTGTGGTCACTGTTCCCTTGGTCTCCATACAGCCATGATAGTGAGGTCACTGTTCCCTTGGTCTCCATACAGCCATGATAGTGAGGTCACTGTTCCCTTGGTCCCCATACAGCCATGATAGTGTGGTCACTGTTCCCTTGGTCCCCATACAGCCATGATAGTGAGGTCACTGTTCCCTTGGTCTCCATACAGCCATGATAGTGAGGTCACTGTTCCCTTGGTCTCCATACAGCCATGATAGTGAGGTCACTGTTCCCTTGGTCTCCATACAGCCATGATAGTGAGGTCACTGTTCCCTTGGTCTCCATACAGCCATGATAGTGTGGTCACTGTTCCCTTGGTCTCCATACAGCCATGATAGTGAGGTCACTGTTCCCTTGGTCTCCCTACAGCCATGATAGTGAGGTCACTGTTCCCTTGGTCTCCATACAGCCATGATAGTGAGGTCACTGTTCCCTTGTTTCCCCATACAGCCATGATAGTGAGGTCACTGTTCCCTTGGTCTCCATACAGCCATGATAGTGAGGTCACTGTTCCCTTGGTCTCCATACAGCCATGATAGTGAGGTCACTGTTCCCTTGTTTCCCCATACAGCCATTATAGTGAGGTCACTGTTCCCTTGGTCTCCATACAGCCATGATAGTGAGGTCACTGTTCCCTTGGTCCCCATACAGCCATGATAGTGAGGTCACTGTTCCCTTGGTCTCCATACAGCCATGATAGTGAGGTCACTGTTCCCTTGGTCTCCATACAGCCATGATAGTGAGGTCACTGTTCCCTTGGTCTCCATACAGCCATGATAGTGAGGTCACTGTTCCCTTGGTCCCCATACAGCCATGATAGTGTGGTCACTGTTCCCTTGGTCCCCATACAGCCTTGATAGTGAGGTCACTGTTCCCTTGGTCTCCATACAGCCATGATAGTGAGGTCACTGTTCCCTTGGTCTCCATACAGCCATGATAGTGAGGTCACTGTTCCCTTGGTCTCCATACAGCCATGATAGTGAGGTCACTGTTCCCTTGGTCTCCATACAGCCATGATAGTGAGGTCACTGTTCCCTTGGTCTCCATACAGCCATGATAGTGTGGTCACTGTTCCCTTGGTCTCCATACAGCCATGATAGTGAGGTCACTGTTCCCTTGGTCCCCATACAGCCATGATAGTGAGGTCACTGTTCCCTTGGTCTCCATACAGCCATGATAGTGAGGTCACTGTTCCCTTGTTTCCCCATACAGCCATAATAGTGAGGTCACTGTTCCCTTGTTTCCCCATACAGCCATGATAGTGAGGTCACTGTTCCCTTGGTCCCCCTACAGCCATGATAGTGAGGTCACTGTTCCCCTGGTCTCCATACAGCCATGATAGTGAGGTCACTGTTCCCTTGGTCCCCCTACAGCCATGATAGTGTGGTCACTGTTCCCTTGGTCTCCATACAGCCATGATAGTGAGGTCACTGTTCCCTTGGTCCCCCTACAGCCATGATAGTGTGGTCACTGTTCCCTTGGTCTCCATACAGCCATGATAGTGTGGTCACTGTTCCCTTGTTTCCCCCATACAGCCATGATAGTGAGGTCACTGTTCCCTTGGTCTCCATACAGCCATGATAGTGTGGTCACTGTTCCCTTGGTCCCCCATACAGCCATGATAGTGAGGTCACTGTTCCCTTGTTTCCCCATACAGCCATGATAGTGTGTGAGGAGCCGAACAACCGTCTGGATAAGTTCACTGGGACCATGCGCTGGAGGAAGGACCGGTTCCCTCTGGATCTGGACAACATGATGCTGAGAGGATGCAGGATCAGAAACACTGATGAGTGTCACGGACTGGTCATCTTCGCAGGTAAACACACACACACACACACACACACACACACTTTTCGGAACCAATGGACATACACCGACGACGATGGTCATGCAAATATTGTAAATATGCTGCCTTGGACATAATCTCATGTGACCCTTGCCCTTCTGTTTGTTGACTGTTTTGATGTAGGCGCTGACACTAAAATCATGAGGAATGGTGGAAAGACCAGGTTCAAGAGGACTAAAATCGATGAACTGATGAACTACATGGTGTACAGTGTAAGTGGTACACTCAATCATCCCCTCGCAATATTTCACCATTAATGAAATTAAGGGAGTCTCTTAACTGCCATTTACAGTTGCCTTCAGAAAGCATTCATACCCCTTGACTTATTCCACATGTTGTTGTTACATCCTGAATTCAAAATGGATTCATTTAATTTATTACCAGTCTACACACAATAGCCCATAATGACAGTGAATATATATATATATATATTTTAATGTATTGAAAATGAAATACAGAAATATCTCATTTTACTTAGTATTCACACCCCTGAGTCAATACATGTTAGATTCACCTTTGACAGTGATTACAGCTGTGATTCGTTCTGGGTAAGTCTCTAAGAGCTTCACACACCTGGATTGCGCAATATTTACCAATTTTATTCTTTTTTAAATTCTTCAAGCTCTGTCAAGTTGGTTGTTGATCAGTGCTAGACAGCCATTTTTCAGTCTTGCCATAGAATTTCAAGTAGATTTAAGTCCAAACTGTAACTCGGCCACTCAGGAAAATTCACTGTCTTCTTGGTAAGCAACTCCAGTGTATATTTGGCCTTGTGTTTTAGGTTATTGTCCTGCTGAAAGGTGAACTTGTCTCCCAGTGTCTGGTGGAAAGCAGACTGAACCAGGTTTAACCTCTAGGATTTTAACTGTGCTTAGCTCCATTCTGTTTCTAAAAAAACCTCCCTTGTCATTGCCGATGACAAGCATACCCATAACATGATGCAGCCACCACCATGCTTGAAAATATGAAGACTGGTACTCAGTGACGTGTAGGATTTGCCCCAAACATAACACTTTATATTCAGGACATAAAGTTAATTTCTTAGCCACATTTTTTGCAGTTTTACTTTAGTGCCTTGTTGCAAACAGGATGCATGTTCTGGAATATTTTTTATTCTGTACAGGCTTCCTTCTTTTCACTCTGTCAATTAGGTTAGTATTGTGGAGGAACTACAATGTTGTTGATCCATCCTCAGTTCTCTCCTATCACAGCCATTAAACTCTGTAACTGTTTTAAAGTCACCATTGGCCTCATGGTGAAATCCCTGAGCGGTTTCCTTCCTCTCCGGCAACTGAGTTAGGAAGGACGCCTGTATCTTTTTAGTGACTGGTTCAATTGATACACCCACCAAAGTCTAATTAATAACTTCACCATGCTCAAAGGGATATTTATTTTTACCCATCTACCAATAGGTGCCCTTTGCAAGGCTTTGGAAAACCTCCCTGGTCTTGGTGGTTGAATCTGTGTTTTGAAATTCACTGCTGGACTGAGGGACCTTACAGATAATTGTATGTATGTGTGGGGTACAGAGATGAGGTAGTCATTCATAGATCATGTTAAACACTACTGCACACAGAGTAAGTCCATGCAACTTATTATGTGACTTGTAAAGCTAAGTTTAGGCTTGCCATAACAAAGGGGTTGAATACTTATTGACTCAAGACATTTCAGCTTTTCATTTTTTTATTAATTTGTAAACATTTCTAAAAGCATAATTCCACGACATTATGTGGGGTATAGTGTGTAGGCCAGTGACACAATCTCAGTAGAATCCATTTTGAATTCAGGCTGTAACACAACAAAAATGTGGAATAAGTCAATGGGGTGTGAATACTTTCTGAAGGCGCTGTATAATGCTTGAGATGAGGACATAGAGACTGTTACGCACTCCTCTCAGGAAGAGGGAACGCAACACCCTGCTACAACTCAACTCTCCGTGGGGTGAAAGAGGTATGGGACCTTAGGTGTGAGTAAGGATGACAAAAGGCAGAGAATACCGTTAACAGGGAATTTATTCCTTCGCACGGTAAGTTTGGGGAAAAGGGGCTGGACGGAACCAAAGCAAAGAAAGTAAATATCAAAGCCCCCTCTCCTTCCTTACCTGCCTACCCACTACTTACTTAACTAGCACCACCTGGTGCACTAACCAAACTACAGGGGATGGTCCGCCCAGGTCTTTCCTAGTGTGCATAGACGGTTAACTTCTACGGGTAATGTATGCCCGCGGGCCTCTTGCCTAAGCACTCCCTAGGTGCCTTCCCCTTCCCCCCTTGGGAACAAATGAAACAAAAATAGCACAAACTGGTTCACAACAAAACCTGAGAAAAAAAAACTAACTCAGGACATTAAAGAAACTCTCTAAGCAACAAACTAACACAAAACATTACAATTGGTTCTCACAGCAACAACTACACAGTACATACCAAATGTCTTAGCAACAACCAACATGCTATAACTCTCAGCCATTCTGGTCCCCCCCCCCTTCTGAGCAACTGGGGCTTATATAGCTTCAGAAGGAGTTGGTAATTGGAGACAGCTGCGTCCTGACGAGGGCGCGGGGTCAGCTCTCCAATCATCAATGTTCATCCAATCAATCAGCTGCTTGTTGGGGAATTTCAGGAACCCATTTCCTGAAATAATATACATGAAAATACACAAACCACAACACAGAAACTGGGGAACGTAACAGAGACACAGAGCTCCAAAAGCTCATCCCTCTTCCCTCCAACAGATCTTTGTAATCCTGATCCTGTTGTGTGCTGGCCTGGCCATCGGAAACTCCTTCTGGTACGAGGAGGTAGGCAGCAAAGCCTGGTATCTGAATGACGGCAAGGACCAGACTGCTTCTTACAGAGGTTTCCTCAGCTTCTGGGGATACATCATCGTGCTCAACACCATGGTTCCCATCTCCCTCTACGTCAGGTGAGTCATCTCAAACCCAGGCTAGTACCCTCTACTATCCACTATCTCAGAAGAGGTGGTTGTGTCAAAGGATCAGAATGGTCATATATCCAAGTTCCAAATATCCTAAACACACAGACATCAATTTACCTGAGGCTAATATCAGCAACCCAGAATCTCTCCTCTGGCCAGCTATGTTTTCGTCTGTTAGGAGAGACTAACCTGGAACATAGAATTTCTCCTAACCTGACTGTCATGATTAATGTGTTTTTATTTCCTCTGCTTAATATCCAGTGTGGAGGTGATTCGTTTGGGCCAGTCTAAGTTCATCAACTGGGACCTTCAGATGTACTACCAGGAGAAAGACACCCCAGCCAAGGCCCGCACCACCACCCTCAACGAACAACTGGGTCAGATCGAGTACATCTTCTCAGACAAGACCGGCACCCTCACGCAGAACATCATGGCCTTCAAGAAGTGCACCATCGCTGGACGCACCTTCGGTTAGAGAAATGTCCTTTCGCTTCTGACGCCATGTATTGATAAGGAGAAGGGAGGAACATCTATATGTTATCTTCAGGAACATCTTCACGCAGATAAAAATGGATAGGTTCTACCCGAGCATTATGGTTACTGCAGTACACCATGCTACACTTTACATCCTGACTTGGATGGACATTCTGGTCCACTGCATTGTGTTAGACATGAAAGAAATGTTGTGAAGACGCCTGTATCGTGACATGTTACATGACTAAGTATAACAACTAACAAATCATTTTCATTTTGACAGGCGACCCCTCCACTGCCGAGGGAGTGACTCTGAATCGTGGAAGGGTGAGGATTACTATTCTGTTCAGATCACATTAAAATAGAACTATCAGGGTCAGTTTCCCGAACACAGATGAAGCGTAGTCTCAGACTAAAAAGCGTGTTCAATGGAGATTCCCCAATTTTGAAAGTGTTCTTAGTCCAGGACTAGGCTTAATCTGGGTCCAGGAAACGGGCCCTCCAAGTCTATCTATAGCATTGCGTTGATGGTCATTTCTTCCCCTTGGTCCTTCACAGCCGGTGGACTTCAGCTGGAACAAGTATGCAGACAGCAAGTTTGAGTACCTGGATCATTCCCTGGTGGCCTGCATCCGGTCCAAGAAGGACAAAGACGCCCTGGAGTTCTTCAAGCTGCTGTCTCTGTGTCACACTGTCATGGTGGAGCAGAAAGAAGGTGAGCGCTAGGCAACCTGCATTCTAGTGATGCTAGAGGTCAAAGTTCAGAGGTCACTGTTCATACATAATGGGCTGGTTTCCTGGACACCTGTAAAGCCTGGTCCTGAACTAAAAAAGCAATGGAGAATTTTCATTGAAAATCCTTCTTTGTCCAGGATCGAGCTTTATCTTTGTCTTGGGGAACCAGACCAATATTTATTTTAATAGGAACATACACAAACAGGTAGTCTTAGTTTAGCGTACCACAGACACCGATGAATAGTCTATAATGAAGGTGAAACATAAGCTCTCTGGCCCCAGAGTTGATGTGCGTCTGTTGTCTTCAGATGAGTTGGTGTACCAGGCAGCCTCTCCTGACGAGGGGGCTCTGGTGACGGCTGCCAGGAACTTTGGTTTTGTGTTCCTGTCCCGTACCCAGGACACCATCACCATCAGCGAGATGGACCAGGAGATGACCTACGAGGTGTTGGCCCTGCTCGACTTTAACAGCGACCGCAAACGCATGTCCATCATCCGTGAGTGACTGTTTTAAGACTGCCACCCCTGGGCCTTTTCTAGGGTTGTAAAGCTCTGGATATTTTTCCTCAATGTTCCCAAGTTTATTGGAATTCCTAGTTGTAGAATTCCCTCCCTGCTTATTCCTGGATTTTTTGGGAACTTTTGGGAAAGCTTCTGGAATTTTGCAATACTATCCCTTTCACTGTGACCACCTCACTAACGCGCTGTCTTCTCTCTCTGTCTCTGTCTCTGTCTCTCTCTCTCTCTCTCTCTCTCTCTCTCTCACTCTCACACACAGTGAGGCTCCCCGACAGCCGGATCCGTTTGTACTGCAAAGGAGCAGACACGGTCATTTACGAACGCCTCTCTCCTAACTCCAGACACAAGGAGGTGACCCAGACTGCTCTGGACGTGAGTCAACAATATCTGTTCTGGGGTATCTTTTTAATATGGCAGGTGTCCCCAAACTCCTTTTGCCCAGGGGCCACATTCTGACATCATAGTTTGAGACCCCTGCTGTATGGCTTTGAACCTAATGTGTAGTAGGAGTGGCCTTAAGTTTGATGTTGTGGTTGAACTCTGAGCATTCTGGACTTTTTTTTGCTTTTTGGTTGGTCACGTAAAAAAATGAAGCTTGAGCTCAAATAGTTTCTGAAAAAAATATGCATGTTTTCATTGGTGCTCCATTTGAAGTATTTCTCTTCCGTTGTAGATCTTTGCCAACGAGACTCTCCGGACTCTGTGTCTGTGCTATAAGGACATCAGTAAGCAGGAGTTTGATGCTTGGGCCAAGAAGCACAAGGCTGCCAGTGTTGCTATGGGCAACAGGGAGGCCGCTCTAGATCGAGTGTATGAACAGATTGAGAGCAACCTCATGGTAAGACACACGCCAAAATACTTCAATCAATCAATTGTCAATTGAATCACTTCTTCAATGTGGAAGGCTGGCATTTAGTCAGGATCATTAAGATATATTAATAAGATGCCATAAGTGGGTTATACATGCTCTTACAATGCATTGTACCTGCAGGTTTTAAGGAAAGTGTTTTTTAATCCGTATTTTACCAGGTAAATTAACTGAGAACACGTTCTCATTTACAGTAACGACATGGGGAGTAGTTACAGGGGAGAGGAGGTGGGGGATGAATGAGCCAATTGGAAGCTGGGGATGATTAGGTGGCCATGATGGTATGAGGGCCAGATTGGAAATGTAACCAGGACCCCCGGGATTAACATTTACATTTTAGTCATTTAGCAGACGCTCTTATCCAGAGCCACTTACAGTTAGTGAGTGCATACATTTTTGTTGGGAGGTAGGTAAACATGGTTTTAATCAACAGTAACACATTGTTAGGAGGTAGGTAAACATGGTTTTAATCAACAGTAACACATTGTTAGGGAGGTAGGTAAACATGGTTTTAATCAACAGTAACACATTGTTAGGGAGGTAGGTAAACATGGTTTTAATCAACAGTAACACATTGTTAGGGAGGTAGGTAAACATGGTTTTAATCAACAGTAACACATTGTTAGGAGGTAGGTAAACATGGTTTTAATCAACAGTAACACATTGTTAGGGAGGTAGGTAAACATGGTTTTAATCAACAGTAACACATTGTTAGGAGGTAGGTAAACATGGTTTTAATCAACAGTAACACATTGTTAGGAGGTAGGTAAACATGGTTTTAATCAACAGTAACACATTGTTAGGGAGGTAGGTAAACATGGTTTTAATCAACAGTAACACATTGTTGGGAGGTAGGTAAACATGGTTTTAATCAACAGTAACACATTGTTAGGGAGGTAGGTAAACATGGTTTTAATCAACAGTAACACATTGTTAGGAGGTAGGTAAACATGGTTTTAATCAACAGTAACACATTGTTAGGGAGGTAGGTAAACATGGTTTTAATCAACAGTAACACATTGTTAGGGAGGTAGGTAAACATGGTTTTAATCAACAGTAACACATTGTTGGGAGGTAGGTAACCATGGTTTTAATCAACAGTAACACATTGTTAGGAGGTAGGTAAACATGGTTTTAATCAACAGTAACACATTGTTGGGAGGTAGGTAAACATGGTTTTAAACACCCCTACTCTTACAATAAGAGCCATGGGATCTATAGTGACCATGGATAGTCAGGACACCGGGGTTAACACCCCTACTCTTGTGTTACCAAAGTTATCAATGAAATCTGACTCTTGATTTTATTAAAGCCACTTCTTTCTGCTTGGAAAAGTAACCCGGTTTTGCGTTGTTTACGTCCTTTCGCAGATGATCGGAGCGACTGCCATCGAGGACAAGCTACAGGACGGGGTTCCTGAGACCATCGCCAAGCTGGCAAAGGCCGACATCAAGATCTGGGTTCTCACTGGAGATAAGAAAGGTGAGAGAAAAGGATGTCAAGAAAGGTTCCCAGGGCGGCCAGCCTCCGATCTAACCAATGACTGGGCTACAGTAGGGTTCTGTCCTTATTCCCTATATAAGGCACTGCTTTTAACCAGGGCCCATAGTAGTGTACTACTGTACAGTATACAGTATAGGGAATAGGGTGCCACTTGGGCTGCATAGCCCATGTTTACCTCCCAACAATGTGTTACTGTTGATTAAAACCATGTTTACCTACCTCCCAACAATGTGTTACTGTTGATTAAAACCATGTTTACCTACCTCCCAACAATGTGTTACTGTTGATTTTAACGACTGAGATAACATCTTGAGTTGCTACTTCACAGAGTTTGCAGCTTGATCGATTTTAAGTGTGTATTGATGGCTGGGATGGAAAGAAACATTTAACATTTTCTTTAACATTTCCTCCCTGCAGAAACGGCTGAGAACATTGGCTATTCCTGTAAGCTGCTTGACGACAACATGCAGATCCACTATGGAGAAGATATCAAGTAGGTTTTAAGATATTAGAGAAGTTTGGGTCTATGGGTCCCAGTGCTTGATGGGACTCATCGGTGTGTAGCTGTAATGGCTACTGCTGTATTTACAGAGTTACGTTACGAGAAAAAAAACGGTTATAGAGATTGTAGTTGAGTGTAAGATGTAGTTCTGATGTTTTTGACGGCCTTGTGTGTGTGTGTGTGATAGTGAGAAGCTGCGAATCAGACAGACAAACCGGAGGGACCAACTGCCTGCGTTGGGTCGAACCAGGAAGAAGGTGCCGGACCCGTTCTTCCCCGAGTCTGGCAGGAACGCACTCATCATTACTGGAGGCTGGCTGGTGAGTGGAGACTACTGCTAGTTACTGTTGCTGTTCAACTTTTAAAGGATCCTTAAAAGGCGTACAGTTGACTCAGCCTAATACTTAAACTTGACACAATTTTATTTTATTTTTTTTCTTTTGTGAACAATATAAAGTATATTATTCTTCTAAAGACTAAATAGGCACGTCTGTCTTTCTCTTCACAGAACGAGATCTTATACGAGAAAAAGAAGAAGCGCCGCCGCCTTCGCTTGAAGCGGCTTGGAAGGAGACCCGCCTCTGCCACGCCCCAGGACACCACCCAGCCAATCGACGACTGGGAGAAGGAGACTCGTCAGGTGGACTTTGTGAACATGGCGTGCGAGTGCGAGGCGGTCATCTGCTGCCGGGTCACGCCCAAGCAGAAGGCCAACGTGGTCAGCCTAGTGAAGAGATATAAGAAGGCCGTGACGCTGTCCATCGGAGACGGAGCCAACGACGTCAACATGATCAAGAGTACGGGAGGATATTGATTTACTGTTTTAAATTATTCATTATTTGTTAGCAGTTGTTATAGCAGAATTTTTGTTTGTTTTCACCACAAAGCCTTGAAACGAATACTATTATTGATAGCCATTACTCTCTGATTCCATGTAGTTTTATAGCAGTGTTATGTAGTATCTAATAACACTTTGCTAACTCCTCACCTCTTCAGCTGTTGGAGACCAATTCTCTGTTTCTGTTTCTCTTCCCCCCCCCCCCCTCACCTTCTCTCGCTCCAGCTGCAGACATCGGTGTGGGTATATCCGGTCAGGAGGGCATGCAGGCGGTGATGTCCAGTGACTATGCCTTGGCTCAGTTCCGCTACCTGGAGCGTCTCCTGCTGGTGCACGGCCGCTGGTCCTACATCCGCATGTGCAAGTTCCTCCGCTTCTTCTTCTTCAAGAACTTTGCCTTCACCCTGGTCCACTTCTGGTACTCCTTCTTCAGCGGGTTCTCAGCTCAGGTGAGGGAATGTTCTAGAGGTAGGGCGCGTCCCAAACTGGCACCCCATTCTCTAAATAGTGCACTACTTTTGACTGGAGCCCTACGTGAACTAGGGTACCATTTTAGAAACCCAGCAGTAGTCACACCACTTATCTAGACTGACTTCAAAAACCCCCCCCCATACTATGGTAAAGATGATTTGATCCTAAATGTGGACATGTATTTGATGATAGAGGAATAAATGATTGTGTGATTTTATAACTTTATCATACCCACTCCAGATTGCCTATGAAGATTGGTTCATCACCTTGTACAATGTGATGTACAGCTCTCTTCCTGTCCTGCTGGTTGGATTGTTAGATCAGGTAAGTTATTATAGGAGCTACATGTAGAATGTTTGCGTTGTCCTTTTTGGAAAATATCCATAATATATCAAAATCAAATTTGTATTCGTCACATGCTTCGTAAACAACAGTGAAATGCTTACTTACAGTGACCTCTGAACTTTGACCTCTAGCATCACCAACAATGCAGAGAGAAAGAAAATAGAGAAATAATAACAAGCAATAATAAATACACAATGAGTAATGATGACTTGGCTATATATATATACGGGGGCGCCAGTTGTCAGGTCCCTCTCAAATGCCAGCTGGACGAGCTGGGCTTTTTCGTTTTGACATAACATGCTCTGTGTTCAGTCTGTGTTCACTGAATAATACGTTCTTCAGGGTGGAGAACGAATTTTCGCACATTTGCTGTAGATGCCCCAACGTTATTCAGTGCGCAGCTACTACCTAGCCTACTATTAGCTGTATCTGTCTGCAAAAGTGGAAAAAACCCACGCTGGGATCCAATGAGTTTCCTAAACAAGGTAATGAAGGTGGTACCTTATGACTTCGGTGCCCAATCAGAATCCATCTTTGGATTTTAAATACTAAATATTACATTATTATATCCCTCACCCCTCCTCTGATCAAGAGTTAACACCCGGCATATAGCCTCTGTCCCGGTCTGTGCTACTGGCAGTCCCGGCAGCGCTACATTGGCAAAACCGGGCAGGGTAATTCATATACCATTTTGTTATGTTTATGGGGGAACAAAACTGTGGGGAGGGGGCACAAATTCTATCTGGGGGCGGTCCATACCCGGCTTTGCCACCCCGTAGCGTAGTGCCGGCTCTGCCGTGGGGGCAATACCTTTTTTAATCCGCAACAAGTCCGTTTAGTGGAAACACCACTGATGGGAACATGCGCATATTTTCTTTATGCAGATTTTTGAATATTCGCAGGAAATTCTGTCACCAATTGGATGGAAACCTAGCTAATGACTATGCAATCAGGGAAGCATAAAGATGCAGCAAGAAAGGAAATCAGCCCCAGTGGATTTTTTTTTTTTTTTTTACATCAATCTTACGCAAGGCATCTAGCAGATCACAAGTAGAAAGTTGTTGAAATGAAAACAAATATTCACTAGAAGTTGACTGATCTTCCATCGAGCCAACTAGAGGCTGGGAGACTAACTGACCAGGGTCAATTAAACCTCTATCTTTCAAATAAAAACATTCTGCAGAGATTCTGTTAATCAGCATTTTATCTCATTTAGACACAACTTGCTTAGTCAGGGAAGGAGAGGAATTTCCACGTTTCAGTGCATTAACTGTTTTCCAAAATTAGACAGCTCACCAGCAGAGTCTGAGATTAGAAATTAGCTTTATTTAGCTTTCTTGAGGAAGTACATCTATTTCGCAATTGCCTGAAAAGCTGCCAATCAGTTACAGTCAGTTTTTTTCTAGCCTTGGTCCAGGCCTGATTTCACATCATTTGTTCAATCTTTAACTCTAAGGCGTTTTAAAGGGTGCATGTTCATCTGCCAGAGGATATAAAATAGATGAGAAAAGGTCTAGCTAGAGCCAATTCAGGTTCTGGCATGAAGCTGATAGAGATTTAAAGAAATGTATGTTATTGTGATCGAGATGTAGTTGTCCCTGATTGCACTGACTTTGCTCACAGCTGCTTGTTTGAAGAAGTGTACTTACTGTGCTCAAAGATGTGGTTGTCCCACTGGCTATCCTAAGTTGAACGCACCAATTTTGTAAGTCGTCTCTGGATAAGAGCGTCTGCTAAATGACTTAAATGTAAATGAATCACACTCTATGCGTCCCAAATGGCACCCTATTCCCTACATAGTGCACTACTTTTGGCCAGAGCCTTACGGGGTATAGGGTGCCATTTGGGATGAAGACCCTGTCTGACTGGACCATTGTTGTTCAGTGGGGTCCTCAAGTATCTTGTTGATTTTCATATTCCTCTTCTTATCAGCTCTCTTCACTAGCTATTCACAAGAAAATGACTTAAATGTAAAAATAGAGGAAAGTTCCCGAGCAATACAAATCATTAATAAATAAATAGATAAACACCTGGAGTGTTTGTAAATTGTATGATTATACGAGGGTCGAGGTTTTTCTGTTTGGAATCTCTTAATACATGCAATAGGACAGTGATGTCGTTAGCAAAGACACCACTCCATAAGTACTTGTGGGGGGCTATTTAGTTCAATCGATAAGGGTTTTGCTGTCTTTCTTACATTTACATTTTTACATTTACGTCATTTAGCAGATGCTCTTATCCAGAGCGACTTACAAATAGGTGCATTCACCTTATAGCCAGTGGGATAACCACTTAACAACAGTAATCAGTGTAGGTTTGGCGATTTTAGTTGAGTCAGGTTAGTCAAGACAAAATATTTTTTTAATGATTAGAGGCTGGGGTGAGCCAATCCAGGTTAGAATCTACTAAAGTAACCACACTGAACCAAAATATAAACGCAAGGTGTTGGTCCCATGTTTCATGAGCTGAAATAAAATATCCCTGACATTTTCCTTATGCACAAAAAGCTTATTTCTCTAAAATGTTGTGCGTAAATGTGTTTATTTCCCAGTTAGTGAGCATTTCTCCTTTGCCAAGATAATCCATCCACCTGACAGGTGTGGCATATCAAGAAGCTGATTAAACAGCATGATACTTACACAGGTGCACCTTGTGCTGGGGACAATAAAAGGCCACTCTAAAATGTGCCGTTTTGTCACATGCTGACTGCAGGAATGTCCACCAGAGCTGTTGCCAGAGATTTTAATATTATTTTCTCTACAAACGTTGTTTTAGAGAATTTGGCAGTATGTTCAACCGGCCTCAGAACTGCAGACCACGTCACGTGTATGGCGTCATGTGGGTGAGTGGTTTGCTGATGTCAACGTTGTGAACAGAGTGCCCCATGATGGCGGTGGGGTTATGGTATGGGCAGGCATAAGCTACGGACAACGAACACAGTTGCATTTTATCGATGGCAATTTGAATGCACAGAGATACCATGACGAGATCCTGAGGCCCATTGTCGTGCCATTCATCCTCCGCCATCACCTCATGTTTCAGCATGATATAATGCACGGCCCCATGTAGCAAGGATCTGTACACAATTCCTGGAAGCTGAAAATGTCCCAGTTCTTCCATGGCCTGCATACTCACCAGACATGTTACCCGTTGAGCATGTTTGGGATGTTCTGGATCGACCTGTACGACAGCGTGTATCCAGTTCCCACCAATATCCACCAACTTAACACAGCCATTGAAGAGGAGTGGGACAACATTCCACAGGCCACAATCAACAGCCTGATCAACTATATGCGAAGGAGAAGTATCGTGCTGCGTGAGGCAAATGGTGGTCACGCCAGATACTGACTGTTTTTTAATTTCTATACACGCCCCTACCTTTTTTTAAGGTATCTGTGACCAACAGATGCATATCTGTATTCCCAGTCATGTGAAATCCATAGATTAGGGCCTAATGAGTTTATTTCAATTGACTGATTTCCTTATATGAACTGTAACTCAGTAAAATCTATGAAATTGTTGCATGTTGTGTTTATTTTTGTTTAGTATAATTCCGATGACAGAAAATGTTTTAAATATTCAGAAATAGTATCAACAGCATCAGGGGGGGGGTAAATCCCTGCTACAAACAAATGCATATTTTGACATTAGGACACACCTATAAACAAACACTCAAACTGTTTGGGGATAGCGACACTTATAGACCAGGATGCCACCAGTCAGCGACACCTATAGACCAGGATGCCACCAGTCAGCGACACCTATAGACCAGGATGCCACCGCCACCAGTCAGCGACACCTTATAGACCAGGATGCCACCAGTCAGCGACACCTTATAGACCAGGATGCCACCAGTCAGCGACACCTTATAGACCAGGATGCCACCAGTCAGCGACACCTTATAGACCAGGATGCCACCAGTCAGCGACACCTTATAGACCAGGATGCCACCAGTCGATTTCACATATACTCCTCCCCCCCCTTTTTCAGTCTATCACACCTGAAGATGTTGTAATCGGCAATGTCAATGTCCTTCTCTATGATAATTCTCTGTGAGAACCAGAATATCAGGGCTCGTATCATGTAAGTCGCTCTGGATAAGAGCGTCTGCTAAATGACGTAAATGTAAATGCAGCCAGACATGAAGAAGTTCCATCTTTGACATCACGCTTCGCACGTTTACGTGCAACAGCCCAAGCCCTCTACGTGATTTGAATACCGAGTGGTCTCCATGTATGTGGAATTCACAATAGAACTAATAGCACTTGAGTTAACCACTAGCTGCTGTGTTGACGGAGGGGTTGCCGGGTTGACGGAGGGGTTGCCGGGTTGACGGAGGGGTTGCCGGGTTGACTGAGGGATTGCCGGGTTGACGGAGGGATTGCCGGGTTGACGGAAGGGATTTCTGGGTTGACAGAGGAACATAAATGAGGGGACTTACATTGGCCGCACTTCTACGGGACATAACATGCTTTCCATGTCCTCTGTTGCTAATTATGACAGGGAGAACTGGAGCACTAACCGACCTGGACAGTCAGTCTCTGAAACAGTTTACGATGTTGCTGGAAATAATCCTGGAACCCTTGTGGTTAGGGTCAATCCCGTCTCTTTAAAAAAATAATAAGTGCTGGTTGCTCCCACAGCAAATCAAAGTTGTCACAAAGGAGCTTATGTTTTGAATTATGAACATTTTTAAATGAAAACCCCTCATTTGTTTTATCACTGTCTCGTTGAGATCATATGGCACATCAATATTAAGATCATACAGTGGTTCCCAAACTTGTGGTCGGGATACTGTATGGGATCCCCGTGGGCCCCTTGAGAAAATATTTGATCTTATTAGCAAACAAATTCAGAACTTATTTATCTTCAAATGGGTATAGAATAAAACCACTTATTGCCAACAAAGGATCTCTTACACTAATAAAATGTGCTTTCATGTCATTATTATGTTTTGGGACAGCCTGCAGGTCATAAAATGTAGTGAATATGAACACACAGCCTTAACTAGCGAATATCATTTGTCCAAGTGGGGTTCCCCTGCGTTTGTGTCAATTTGGGATCATGTGCAGTAAAAGTTTGGGAAGCCCTGAGCTAATATGTAATTTCTATTTCCTGTTTCCTTGAAGGACGTGAACGACAAGCTGAGTCTAAAGTTCCCCAAGTTATACCTCCCTGGTCAGCAGGGGGCGCTGTTCAACTATAAGAACTTCTTCATCAGTCTGTTCCACGGCATCTTCACCTCTCTGGTGATCTTCTTCATCCCGTTCGGGGCGTTCCTCCAGACCATGGGGCAGGACGGAGAGGCACCCTCAGACTACCAATCCCTCGCTGTGGTCATGGCCTCGTCTCTCATCTTCACCGTCAACCTGCAGGTAGCCGACTTAGATTTATTGATTCATTGATTGGTGGATGGATTGATTGATTTTACGTTTATTGTCCGTCAAAAAGGGAGATTCTTTCCACAGCTCACAAGTTACATGTAGACACAATACACATATAATCACTACAAGAAACAAACTCTTGTGTGTTTTCAGAAATCTGTTGAGCTCAAATAAAAAAAGCTATGAGGCCATTGATACAGCAAGTGCTGTTTCCTCCTACAGTGTTCGAATGGATGATGTAATTTTCGGTCTCTTCTACTTCCTCTCCCAGATATCTCTGGAGACGTCGTACTGGACCTTTGTGAACTGCTTCGCTGTCCTCTGCAGTATAGCCATATACTTCGGGATCATGTTCGATATCCACAGTGCAGGAATTCACGTCATCTTCCCCTCAACCTTCACCTTCACCGGTGAGTTCTGCCTCCTCAGATCTGGGTCCTGTTCATAAGGAATCAAACGGATGAAAACTGACTAAAACAGTGAGAGACTACCTGGACTTGTCCAATAAGAGCTGCTCATATTCGTTTTGCTTTGTAACTTGTAAAAAAGTTTTCCGTTGTATGCCCTAATGGGTCGTGTTCATTAGGGCACACAGACTATAGCAAAACGTTTCACAATGGAGAACGAATGTTTCTTATTGGACAAGTTTAGGTATTACCTCCCTAATTCTGTCAGTTTTCTTCCAGTTTGCACCTTATGAACATGACCCTGGCCATATGGCTCTTGTCACAGAGGGTGGCGATGATGAGTAATTACTGAGCATTTATAACCCAGCGTATGTTGTGTTTTTCCCGCGTGTGTCAGGAGTAGCCCCTAACGCACTCAGACAGACCTATCTGTGGCTGACCATCATCCTGACTGTGGGGATCAGCTTGCTACCCGTCATCTTCATCCAGTTCCTCTACAAAACCATATGGCCATCCGTTGGAGACAAAGTAAGGCCTGGCTAACCCTAACCCTAACCCGAAAAGGACTTTACTCGTAATGTGTTGATATCTGTAACATTTCGGCATGACATGGCCGTGGTAAGGCCGTGGTAAAGCTCATTGACACTGCAATATTTGGAGAGATTTTTTTTGTATCAGAGATCAGTGGATTTTGCGGCGATTTAAACGGGGCACCAAATCTGGCGAACCACATCCTGTCTGAAGTGCTCTTGAATGAAACCCACCACACGTCCATATTTTAAACTTCTTTATGAACGATTTATGAACGATTTTATGAATAATTGTTTCCCGCCGCAGGTCCAGAAGAACAGGAAGACGTACGAGGAACAGGAACAGGAAGAGGAGAAGAAACCTGAACCTTTCCAGCGCGGCAGACAGTCCCGCCGCTCGGCCTACGCCTTTTCTCACTCCCGGGGTTACGCCGACCTCATCGCGTCAGGCCGCAGCATCCGACGACGGCCTGCCATAGCTCGCCCCGACCCCAGGGACAGCGTCAGAGAGGTCCCTCAGGCTGAGAACATGTGAGGGGGGGGGGGGGCTCACCGGCCTGGCACTAGCCTGGTCCCAGATCTGTTTGTGCGGTCTTGCCTACTCCTATGGTCATTGTCACGCATGACAATCATAGAATTACATATAGAATCAATAGGTATAAAACGAATAGATGTAGAATGACCTTATCTCTATGGTGACAATGACCGTAAGAGTTGGCCTGGCAGCACAAACAGATCTGGGACCAGGCTAGTCTGTCCTGTCCCTATGCATCTGGAACTGAGAAACATATCACTGGGCCTCATCTCACCGACCTGGCATGGTCTGACTCTCTATGCAAAGAATCTTCCATCCAAAAGCTCACCGAAGCCCTACTGTTGGGGTTAATGTTATACGGTTTATTGTGTAACAAACAATGTTTATCTCAGGATTTTTAAAAGCCTTATTTTAGTTTCCCTCTCCTGGATGGTTGCAGCATAGCTCGTCATTACTGGGCACTCCTGACATACCTTGGCCTGTATTCATGAAGCCTCAGAGTGGGAGTGCTGATCTAGGACCAGGCCCCCCCCCCCCCACCCCCCCGTACATGTAATCTTATTCATATGATCAAAAAGGGAAAATGTATGTTAGAGCAGCACTTTGTGAATACGGGCCCTGGAGTATTCGGTTTGGCTATGTAGCCTATCGCGGTGTAAAGTAATGCTATCTATTACAAGGATTGCACTGCCTCTGGATCTTGGGAGTTGGCCTTGTAAACTGTCTTAATTTAATATATTGTGAATATTATTGCTGGTTTATATTTTACTTTACTGGATCAGTTGTTAAATGCATACTTGCAGTCAGAAGGGTGTCATAATCATGTTTTTTTCTTTTTTTATGCAGAAGAATTTCAGCTTAATTTTTTTGTTGGCTCGTAAGGAAGCTCATAAGTGCTGGATTCTAACTAGATTATATATGTTTTCAACAGCTTTTATTTTATTTTATGGTGTCTTTACTGCTGTAAGTCATTTGACACACTTCATATGGACATGAATTTATTGTATACATGCTTTTAAAGCTGAACCAGTTGTTTACATCGATTCCCATAGAACCCTGCTGCACCTCTGGACTGCTTGTTGTCATTTGACCTGTTTTACCTGAGCCAAATTCCCCCTTTTCATATCATAACCGGATGCAAGTAGCATCTAGTATTCTCAAATGTCAGTAGTCAGCCATAACTCTCTCTAATTTATCAATGAAGTATGAATGGAATTGGTGATTTGCAATATTTTCCATTAATGCTGTCTCTTTCTCTGACATTCCAAACCATTTCATATTCGGACCATAGAAATAGAAGGAACTATTCTAAAATAGAACTCCATTCTAGTTCTGTGATTCTGACAGGGGCCGTCTCAGTCTGCAAGGATGCAGCCATTTGGATTGAGACTCAGCCATGGTTATTGGCCAAATGCATGATTTCCTTAATCAGCCTCGTATCAATATGACCCGTCAACTGAAACAATACTCTTGTTGTGTCCCACATGACACTTTAATCCCTATGTAGTGTTCTACGTTGGACCAGGGCTCTGGTAAAAACACAACCTCTGTTTATTCTGTTGCATACTTGTGTTTCTCTGTGTACAAAGTAACATATCTACACAAATCTTTAAAATAGTTAGAAAGTCAATTAGGTGTACAGCAACAGATCCATTGGGAAACTCTTATCACTACTGTTTTTAAAACTTGTTTTTAGCATATTATGTAAAACCCTTTTGTAAAATGACTTTGAATAAAGACTACCGATACAGAGAAGCTGCTTTCGGTCTCAAGTTGTAGAGGGAAAATAAAAGGTTTCTGCCTATCAAATAAAATAAAATAAAATGTTATTTGCCACATGCACCGAACACAACAGGTGTAGACATTACAGTGAAATGCTTACTTACAAGCCCTTAACCAGCAATGCAATTTAAAAAAAAAGAAAATAAAGTGTTAAGTAAAAAACATAAGTAAAAAATAAAAGCAAATAATTAAAGCGCAGCAGTAAAATAAAATAACAGTAGGGAGGCTATATACAGGGGGTACCGGTACAGAGTCAATGTGCGGGGGCACCGGTTAGTCGAGGTAATTGAGGTAATATGTACATGTGGGTAGAGTTAAAGTGACTATGCATAAATAATTAACAGAGTAGCAGCAGCGTAAAAGAAGGGGGTGGGGTGGCAGTGCAAATAGTCCGGGTAGCCATGATTAGCTGTTCAGGTGTCTTATGGCTTGGGGGTACTGCGGTCACTGTTTTGCTGTTCTCCATGTTTGTTTGTTTTTTCATGTATGTTGTCTATAAGTTTCATATGACAATGACATTATTGTTCAGTGGTGGGTGGAGAACGCTACTCCACCCACACACACATATACCCGTTTAAAAAAAAAAAAAAAAAAGTTGTATACATCACTAACCCCAGCACTGGGACATGTGCTCCACCTGCAGCCCTTGAAATGGATTGATTACCTTTATGAATATCCACTTGCCACAACCAAGATGGCTGCCAGCGCGAGACGTTAGTGTTTACTGCAGTAATATCGATTGACGGCAACGCCAAAAGCTGTCGCGTAATCAGCTGACTAGAGAGGATCTGCAGAGCCAGAGTGTAAAAAAAACAAGACGAATTACAATACTGATGACCTACACTGACCGAGGATTTCACCAATACTGTTCCCAATAAAAGTAAATGTTCCAGTAGAACCTGTCACAGGTAAGCGTTTAGCTGTGTTTGTCAATTTTAGCTATCTTGCTAACCAGGAAGTTACGACATACAGGTGCTTTAATGTTGTCAGCTAGCTAGCTATCATCTGCTAGCGAAGCCAACAGTTTCGCTAAGGTATGCAATACAGTGAATAATACTGCTACACGAAGTGTTACTCACACACTGGCATACTTAGATATCATAGCTAGCTATGATAGTGTCTCTCAAAGTCTCATGTGCTAGCTAGCTCATCTGTGTCAACCCATCGTTAGCTGGCTAATAAGATTATCACGCGACTGTTGTTGGCTGTCAACGATTTGCAACCGAGGTGTGTAATAACCTAGTTACATGATAAACAACTCCGTGATCTCGTTATTTCATGGACCCAAACCTCTGTCTGAACAGGCAGGCTGGTGTGGTTGTTTGTCATTCATTGAATGATTTTGCGCAAGATCTTCTGTTCTGTCATCTGCACACAGTTCATGGTAGACTGACTGCATTCATTACGTTAACCTACACTTGAAGTACCCTGTCTTGCTGATTTTTAAAGGCACTAACATCTGTCAGGGTGTTTCAAAACAGTATTGTGGATTCACTTGTTCTCTGTGCTTGGAAAGATAGGCTAGTGAGTGGACGTTTCGGGTAAGCTACTTGGCATGGTGTCATCATTCAGCCTTTGTAGCTAACGTTAACTAGCTACCGCACTGTTTCCCAGGCTGCTGGTTGGTATTTTAGGACCCTAAAAAATCCGCTTTATGGAATCCAGACAATACAACGGAATTCAACAATATTCAAAAAGATTTTGAACTTAGTAGGAAATCAACTACATGTATTAAACTCTGTCAAATTAATAAATGTATCATAAGACAAGAACAGAATGCATCAGTGATTCGTATTTCCTGCAACTTTCTGAAGAGAAAACGATAATTTCCCGTCTGCCTTGGCTAGTTTGTTTAGCAGTTAGCGGTGATGCTAATGTAAATTATTCTGGTATATGGAAAAGCTTTTAATCAATTAAATGTTAACTACTAAGTAGACTGGTTATATTGTAGAATGATATCATGATTATTTGCATAAATCCAAGTGGTTATTTGTTTAGCAAACTCTACCATCATACGTGCTGCACACTGGATTTAAAGGGTTGGCCTAACAACAACCAAAAATCAAGTGGTCTCCATAAGCGGTTTAAGCGTTGTTGTGGACATCCAATGTAGTTGTTTTCTATTAAAAGGTGTGATTTTGAGAGCGAAACCCTGAAAAAAAAAAAATCAGGAACATGGAAACCGGGAAAAAAAACGAAATGGAATCAGGTAAAAAAGAAAACAACTGATTTTATAGGGCCACATCATCCAAAGAATAGAGTGGTTATGGTATCAAATGTCATTCTACAAAGCAAGCTACCTGATACTGGACTTGTCATGCTGTTCTTTCAAAGAGATACAAGCTTACATGACACAGTAAGGTACCTTTTTAATACCAATGCATTGCACACAAAATGATCACCTTCTTGGTTGTCCTAGGCTTCTTGAGGGGCTCATCCTGTGCCTAGGCCGGACGTTGTTGTCTGTTGCAGCCTGCCACCTCAGTTCTCCCAATGCTCTGTCCTCCTCGTCTGATATAGATGCAGCTGCATGTTGTTGTGTAATCTAACCTATCCACATTGAAAGAAACAAAAAGTGATCATGAAACAGTGTGCTAACACAAAAACAATAAACACATAGGCTACAAATACCCCATGCCCTGACATTTCAGCATGTCACAGACGGCACTAGCTGTTCTGTACATCACACAGGCTGTGTCCTGAATCGCACCTTGTGTCCTGAATCACACCCTATTCCCTACATAGTGCACTACTTTTGACCCAGAGCCCAATGTGGTGCTGTGGATCACCCTCACTTCACTGACTCACTGTTCTACCGTTGTGGCACGCTGCTGCTTGTGACATATTGATTTAACTCTGAAAGCCTGTGGAGAGATTTGTGGTAGACTTTGAAAGCGAAGCAGTGTGTGTCGCTGACCAGTGCTAGTCCTTTGGGACTGAGAGCAGAGGAGTTTGTGGCGCTACAGAAGCATTATCACTGCGAAACGGGGAATATTATCCAAAATGAAGCTCATACAACTGGTGAAGATGAAAGTGATGTTTCGCAGGCTGAGGTTTGCTCTGACTGAGACAACTCATGAGTGTATCACAAGGTATTGTACTGCTGATTTAAACTTTGACACTGAATGACACTTGACTTAGGCCTAGCCTGTGTATTTTCAGCTTTCTATAAGAATGCAGATATGCCCCTACTCTCTATGGCTATTAAAAGTTGTGGCTAGACTATTAGGAATTATTTTCACATTGTCTGGACATTTATGTCAGCTTCTTTGGAAGGATGTTGACCAGTAGAAATCTTGCAATAAAAATGTGTGGAACAAAATAATTTAGCAATAAATAGGGTAGACTATTCCTTTGTTCAGGACCATATAAAATGTCATGGGTATGTCCACAGTTGGAGACAGCTCGATATGACAAATGTGTGAGAGCTGTGTCACTACTGAGCAGTAGTGTTCAATAGGTGAACGATTTGTATAACGCACATCAAACGGATGCCAATTAATTAGTTTTCAAGAGGCTATTTTAACTATTGTAACTCTCTTTTTGTATCTGAATTTTGAATGTGATTTATGGGTTTTCAGTTATCGGTCATGATAGCAGTCTGACCTAAAGTTGGGAGTCGGTTCTGCTTTTCTGTGTTATGTCTTGGTAATGGTCTCTCAGTCTTTGTCATTGGAGAAAATTCTTGTTTTGCGTTGCTTCCTGAAACTAACCCTACTCCATTAGGATCCCTGTCACTATATTACTATTGTGTAAAGGCTATTGTGACACTCAATGTTTTATTTGATGACCCCCAACTATTGACCATAGATTTGTGAAGAGGTTACTGGAAAGTGTGGAATTGATCTGAAACTACTCTGACGTGCCGATAGTAACTCTGAACCTAATGGTACATCACCCACTAATGAAAAGTCTATGGTCTGCCCTTCAATAATGATCACTTGCCCTCAATGCCGCCTTGTCTAGTGCCATCCCACCAATGTTATCACCAATGGTATATAGTATCATGAACTGTCTCATGTGTGCAACTCCATTTGTAAGCTCCTTAACTCTCTTCCTCTCTCCCTCTCTCCCGTCTCTCTCCTCTACAGGTCAACAGAGAAAATGTCAGGAAACAGCCTGGTTTTACCCATAGTGCTGTGGGGCCGTACGGCGCCCACTCACTGCATCTCCAGCCTGCTGGTCATGGATGACCTCACCACCATCATCACCGGCTGCCATGATGGACAGATCTGCATCTGGGACATGACCTCCGACCTCGAGGTAAGCCTGACATGACCTTTGACCTCCAAACTTGCGTTTTGGCCAGAAGGAAAACATGGCACTCATTCTGGTCAAACATGGACTCGGTGCATCATCAGGGTTGTCTTCAGTGTGGTGTAATGTAGCAAAATGTTTTGAAACTGCATACGAGAATCAAAAAACGTTCAACGAGAGTGGGGAGGGGCGCAAAGTTTTTGGGAGGATTTTAGTTTTGGTCATAAAAGATTGTAAAATCACCAGGGTTTCAATTAGGAAATCTGTTCCCAATTATTCCGACAAATAAAAAAACATGTGATCCAGTCTCAATGTAATCAAGGGATGAAATCAAACGTGTGGCCTTATCGGGGCTTTCTTTTGCAAAATTACTATGAATTAACAAAATGGTCAGTTGTCAACACCATGTTAAGGTGTGGGACATTCATTGTATGAAAAAAAATAAAAACTAGCAGGTGTATTTCGCTCCAGCAGATAGCATTATCTGTCCGTCCACAATTCACCTGTGGGAACATGGCGGCTCTCAACACCAGACAGCAGAAAGAGCTATCCGAGAGATTGTTTGTGAGGAGATTATCTCTGCCCTCGACATGCAATTAAAACAGGTAAATGAATCACTCACGTTGCTCACTTCTGAAGTGGATGCCTATTCAACTAAAGTGGAAAGTTTGGAGAAGGCGGCCAACGCGACAGAGGTGCAACTCCATGACCTGGAAACAGCGCGAGCTAAACCAGAAGGTGCAATCAATCTCCCAAAATTAGAAAATGGAATCACTTGAAAATATTTCCCGTAAATTCAATGTGCGGGTCGTAGGACTTGAAACTGGCATGGAAGCGGGCAACCCAAATTCATTTTTTTTTTTTTTTTTTCATTTAGCAGACGCTCTTATCCAGAGCGACTTACAGGAGCAATTAGGGTTAAGTGCCTTGCTCAAGGGCACATCGACAGATTTTTCACCTAGTCGGCTCGGGGAGAAGCTGGGTCCCATGCCTCTAATTAACGTTGTGCACCGCACAGGTCCTCTTCAGAATGGGTCTTGCTCACAGGAGGTTGGTAGCACCTTTAATTGGGGAGGACGGGCTCATAGTAATGGCTGGAACGGATTAAATGGAACGGTATCGAGCTCATCAAACACACGGAAACCATGTTTGATACCATTCCATCCACTCCATTCCAGCCATTATTATAATGAGCCGTCCTCCCCTCAGCAGCCTCCTGTGGTCTCGCTGTATAATTGTGCGAATCCACAGTTTTTAAGTCAAACAGCGAATTGTTCGTCTTGCAATGGAATCGGGGGCTCTGACCTATGCTAAGAAGAGGATCTGCTGAAACGGAGGGCGACCTACAGCGAGTTGAGATCCCAGCTACGCCAGCTAAAACTGAGATGCGGCTTCATCCACCCGGCAAAACTCATCTTGACCTTTCGGAACACAACACACATTTTCCACTGCCAAGGAGGCTCGAGACTTCTTCGAGAATCACATCAAACCCAACGCACAAGGGGATGAGCCGACAGATGGAATCCCAATGTGACTGGCTCAATATTCCGGTAAGCTATCCGTGCACATCACGCAGCCGAGCAAATGGCGGCTATGATGCTGCCCTCAGCATAAGACAATGACTAGGACACCCCATCGAGTGGCTACAAGGAACATTATTGCTGAGCATTGGACTTTGTTGTTGTTATTATAATATTTCCTATGGAACGGGAGGACATTAACACAGTGATGACACCACGCCAATTAATGGACAATGTTGAGGTGACAAACGTACTAGCGCTGCTTCCTTGTGGGGCTACAGCGCATTGAATCCCTACATGGGCTAAATATGGCAATAGAAATTGGAAGCTATTCCCCTACAATTAGTTTATTAATGCTACTGCTAAAGAGAGATGGCCAGTCCCACAGGGGGCTTCTTACCCCACAGGGGGCTTCTTACCCCACAGGGGGCTTCTTACTACACAATAGTATTCTTTTCATCTTCTTCTTCTGTTGATTGCTATAGCAATTATCTCCCAGGGAGGACGGCCTACAGGCCCTGATGAATTACTATGAAGATTTAGATTATAGACTGCATTTAGATTATAGACTGCATTTAGATTATAGACTGGTCTAAATTAAAGACTGATTTAGATTATAGACTGGTCTAGATTATAGACTGAATTTCTTTTTGACATTGTTTGATAGTTAACCTAAAAATGAGGAAAATGATGTGCATAACCATATGCTTGAAAAAAGACAAATTAGAGCTATTGCCTACTCTAAGCTCTATTGCTCTACAGCGTTAGCTCCTACAGGCATTGCCCTACAAATCCTATTACTCCTATTACACGTCTATTGCTCTACATGTACAGCGTCTATTGTCTACGCATTATGCCCCTACATCTACAGCGCTTTCCCATCTCGCGTCCTATGTCCTATTAATACACTGGCCTACATCTACAGCGTCCTATTGCTCCTACAGCGTCCTATTGCTCCTACAGCGTCCTATTGCCCCTACATCTACAGCGTCCTATTGCTCCTACATCTACAGCGTCCTATTGCTCATACATCTACAGCGTCCTATTGCTCCTACATTTACAGCGTCCTATTGCCCCTACATCTACAGCGTCCTATTGCTCCTACATCTACAGCGTCCTATTGCTCCTACATCTACAGCGTCCTATTGCTCCTACATCTACAGCGTCCTATTGCTCCTACATTTACAGCGTCCTATTGCCCCTACATCTACAGCGTCCTATTGCTCCTACATCTACAGCGTCCTATTGCTCCTACATCTACAGCGTCCTATTGCTCCTACATCTACAGCGTCCTATTGCTCCTACATCTACAGCGTCCTATTGCTCCTACATCTACAGCGTCCTATTGCTTCTACAGCGTCCTATTTCTCCTACAGCGTCCTATTTCTCCTACAGAATCCTATTGCTCCTACATCTACAGCGTCCTATTGCTCCTACAGTATCCATCCAGAGATCTGTATATAATGATGAGATGCTCATGTCTATGCCGTAAAAATGGGAGTCGTTGTCCCATGGTGGGAAGGCAGGTGACAAGCTTAGGTCCAAAATAAGCCCATAGAAACGCATTGTGCTTCTTTTGGACAGATTTTGTCGAGAGTGAAACCTCTCGCTTCGCCTCTTCCTCTCTGATCTGTCTCTGAGCCGGGAAAAGCTGGCGCAATGGATTATGGTCATTGTAGTTAATTACCAAGTTTCTGTGCTGAAGTAGGTTAAATATTTGCTTAATATTCTCCCTTTAGCCCAGAGTCCCACATAGTTCTTGACTTGATTTATCTCGTAAATGATTTGATTTCTCTCTAGAGAAATGGCGCCTTGGGCTCAGAATACCCCCAAAATGTAATTCAAGTAATTGAAGCGACGTTGATCAATAAGTTGTTTAATAAGCCCCCCCAAAAAACGAAAGGTCTGTTAGTCGCTCAGCGCAAACACTATCGCAATAATAATAATTTGGTTGTGTTTATAAAGGTCTTGGTTAACAGTAGAATACACATTTTTTTTCTTCAGATAACACAATAGCATTTTCATTAGTTTATTTTACTGTAGGCTATATGTAAAAAAAAATACTACTAATAATTAAAGTGTTCAGTCAATTTTATTGGTGGAGTGCCTTTGTTACATGAAACAGAAGAAAAACTAAAATACACCAAGACACATGGTCAGCAAGACGCCTTGTCAAATGATGAAAACATCGGTAGCCTAAACATCATAAGCACCAAGTGTGCTTGATAAATAGTGATAATCAGCACAAAAGCAATAATGGCCTTATGATGAATATAAGTTTAGATATGACGGCAGGAAAAATAGTCAATTATTTATAAGTTGGATACCCATGGCGAATTTGTCGGTTTCCAGGCTTCACGTTCTCGTTTCTTTGTAATAAAAACTGAGGTAACGTATGATCTCTCTGAGGCGATCCCGTGACGTGATCTCTCTGAGGCGATCCCGTGACGTGATCTCTCCAAAGAATAGTATCCCATACATGTCTGACCAGAAGCTCTCCATATACACGCTCTTTCCACCGAATGCTCCACGGACATACAGGATTGAAATGAACGCTTCCAGCTCATCAACAGACAGATCCCAGGCGGTGTCTCCTTGCTCCCGGTACGCCTCAGCCACAGGGCAGTCCCTGATCCCAGGCGGTGTCTCCTTGCTCCCGGTGCGCCTCAGCCACAGGGCAGTCCCTGATCCCAGGCGGTGTCTCCTTGCTCCCGGTGCGACTCAGCCACAGTGCAGTCCCTGATGTGCTGTAGCATGTCCATGTCTTGTAACAAAAAAAGCTGGTGTGTGCTTTGCTAATGTGTTTTTTTTTTTGCTTGAGATTTTAAGGCCTACTCTCTCTCAGTGATGATAATTTTGTGCTGATAATCGGCCATAGCATTGTCACCGGCTAGTTCTATTCCAAACGGGGGCCGTCCCTTCCTCTCTCCCGTCTCACCGTGGTGGCGCGGGCACCTGCTCAGCGTGCACCGTTCTGGCTTTTTTGTGCTCAGGCCTCGGAGGTGTAGGTTCAGGCTGAGGCTTGGAATCAGAAGAATAATCATCAGTGATGTCATGATTCATTTCTTCCCCACCATCTGAGTGGTTTTCATCCAGATCTTGTAGCAGCGCTAACGCACCACGTGCATCCATTCGTCTTGGTCTTCTTGCCATTGTAATTTATTCACACTCTCACTGTGTACTCCAAGTAGGCCAGAGTAGACTGATATATAGGGTACGTACCATTTTGAGATTATTATTAGAATAGCTCAATACAATAGAATGACCTTCTTCATTCACAACTGGTGATTACATAATTATGCATCGTTCGCAGCCCCTCGCTCATCAACTCACCCATTCTCCCCCATCATACTTCATTTATTTAATCTGTTATATGTGTGAAGTTAGTTTCGGTATAGTTTAGGTTCAGTTTCGAGGCAATTATCAGGGTGATTATCAGCTGGGCACTGCACTTTGAACTGTTGGGAGAAGGAGGGAAGCGGGCCCTACTGTTGGGAGAAGGAGAGGAGCAGGCCCTACTGTTGGGAGAAGGAGGGGAGCGTGCCCTACTGTTGGGAGAAGGAGGGGAGCAGGCCCTACTGTTGGGAGAAGGAGGGGAGCAGGCCCTACTGTTGGGAGAAGGAGGGGAGCAGGCCCTACTGTTGGGAGAAGGAGGGGAGCAGGCCCTACTGTTGGGAGAAGGAGGGGAGCAGGCCCTACTGTTGGGAGAAGGAGGGGAGCAGGCCCTACTGTTGGGAGAAGGAGCGGAGCAGGCCCTACTGTTGGGAGAAGGAGGGGAGCGTGCCCTACTGTTGGGAGAAGGAGAGGAGCAGGCCCTACTGTTGGGAGAAGGAGGGGAGCAGGCCCTACTGTTGGGAGAAGGAGGGGAATAGGCAGGCCCTACTGTTGGGAGAAGGAGGGGAGCAGGCCCTACTGTTGGGAGAAGGAGGGGAGCAGGCCCTACTGTTGGGAGAAGGAGGGGAGCAGGCCCTACTGTTGGGAGAAGGAGGGGAGCAGGCCCTACTGTTGGGAGAAGGAGGGGAGCAGGCCCTACTGTTGGGAGAAGGAGGGGAGCAGGCCCTACTGTGGGAGAAGGAGGGGAGCAGGCCCTACTGTTGGGAGAAGGAGGGGAGCAGACCCTACTGTTGGGAGAAGGAGGGGAGCAGGCCCCTACTGTTGGGAGAAGGAGGGGATCAGGCCCTACTGTTGGGAGAAGGAGGGGAGCAGGCCCTACTGTTGGGAGAAGGAGGGGAGCAGGCCCTACTGTTGGGAGAAGGAGGGGAGCAGGCCCTACTGTTGGGAGAAGGAGGGGAGCAGGCCCTACTGTTGGGAGAAGGAGGGGAGCAGGCCCTACTGTTGGGAGAAGGAGGGGAGCAGGCCCTAACTGTTGGGAGAAGGAGGGGAGCAGGCCCTACTGTTGGGAGAAGGAGGGGAGCAGGCCCTACTGTTGGGAGAAGGAGGGGCAACGGGGGAAAACCATTCAAAAAATGACATGACCTCCTTAAACTGGTTATAACTCCAGTTCTGTTTGTGATGTTAAGATTCTAACACCGACAGTGTGTTCTATAGACTTATTTAGGAAAAGTCAAGGACGGAGGGCGTCATGACCTTTTAAAAATGATAACAAACTTGCGAAGAGGGAAAGACGTAGACTTTAAATTGTATTTCCAGGCACTAGCATTTCGCCACATCCTAAATTTGTTTAGACATGATTTTTCTGCCCCCTGGCTGAGTTTAGAGAGAAATATGGTGCCTTCCTACTGCCCTGGAAGAGGTGGTCTTCACTGATATATCCCTTAAACAATGTAAATTACACTTTGGTCCCATTATTGCGCAAATAATTCATATTTGGCACAAAATTGAAAAACAATGTAACTGGGAATCAAAATGGCGTGCCCATACTCCAATACTTCACAGTAACGCCTTGCGATCCGGAGGTCAGCCTTTTGCAGCCCCCGAAATGGTCCAAAGGTAGAATCCATACCCTTACTGATATCAACTCATTCTTTCTATATTTACAACTTAGGTCAGCTACAGTATGCTGGACCATGGAGTCCCTTGGGAAACCCAACTACCGAACCATCCAATGATGGGATTTATAAATAAATTATCTGGCCTCCCAAAAGGACTGATCTCTATAATATATAAACAACTTTTGGAAAGCTCATATTCTGAGCTAGCCATTAAAAAAGTATGATCCACAGATCTAATTGAATCTGAACAACCCTTTTTAACTGGAACAGAATATGGAAAAAAATATGACCTCGTCATCCTGTGATCTGAACCGTCAATTTAGACATGTTAAGTTTGTTCACAGACTGTATTTGAACAACAAGGAAACATTTTATGATGAAATTGGCCCCAACTCCCAACTGTTCACTGTGTCCCCTAAATCAGGTAGGCACATTCCTTCATATGATGTTGGGGTGCCCTGCAGTTCAATGCTTCTGGGGCAAAGTTACAGAATTCATTTCGAAGTGCATGAATGTAATTAACGATGGTAGTTCCTTGAATCTCTCAATAGATCAGAGAAGGACAACTGAGGCCTGGATAAATATACTTGACTCTGTAAAGTATAATCTCAGCTAATCTCAGCGGGGTTGGTGGTTTTAAAAACATGGTTATTATTACTTAAACTCTGTATGTTTTAAGTAATGATACGGGTACATGTTTTATGAACTTAAACATTTTAAATGTATAATGTAGGGCCTCCTGTAGCTCAGTTGGTAGAGCATGGCGCTTGCAACGCCAGGGTTGTGGGTTCGATTCCCACGGGGGGCCAGTATGAAAAATGTATGCACTCACTAAAACTGTAAGTCGCTCTGGATAAGAGCGTCTGCTATCAACAACTAATTACAAAACAAATCAAACCTATTTTGGGGCTTAGTTTTGGTCAATTTGCAGTGTACAAATTAATTTTTTTCCCGCCACCCGACCATTCGTTCCAACAAAAAATCGTCCCGTGGCTGAATCTAGTTGCCTACCTCTTATGTAGGCAGAGTAAACCTCCTGAGTGGACTGTGTAATGTTGTTACTGTAGTGGATAAGAGGAACTTAATGGGTAAGGGATACAGTGGTGTTCCTCAGAGAGACTGTCCTGTCCTGTCCTGTCCTGTCCTGCGGGTGGCCTTTTGGGTTGAGTGGTTCACCTGACTGACTGTCCTGTCTCTCGTGCTGTCCTCAGATCAGTCCCAGGGCCATGTTGTTCGGCCACACCGCCTCCATCACCTGCCTGTCTAAAGCCAGCCCCTGCAGTGACAAGCAGTACATCGTCAGCGCCTCAGAGAGTGGGTGAGTAGAGTACACTAGGTCTACACCACAGTGAGTACACTAGGTCTACACCACAGTGAGTACACTAGGTCTACACCACAGTGGTTACACTAGGGTCTACCACCACAGTGAGTACACTAGGTCACACCACAGTGAGTACACTAGGTCTACACCACAGTGAGTACACTAGGTCTACACCCACAGTGAGTACACTAGGTCTACACCACAGTGAGTACACTAGGTCTACACCACAGTGAGTTACACTAGGTCTACACCACAGCTAGGTCCACACCACAGTGAGTACACTAGGTCTACACCACAGTGAGTACACTAGGTCCACACCACAGTGAGTACACTAGGTCTACACCACAGTGAGTACACTAGGTCTACACCACAGTGAGTACACTAGGTCCACACCACAGTGAGTACACTAGGTCTACACCACAGTGAGTACACTAGGTCTACACCACAGTGAGTACACTAGGTCCACACCACAGTGAGTACACTAGGTCCACACCACAGTGAGTACACTAGGTCCACACCACAGTGAGTACACTAGGTCCACACCACAGTGAGTACACTAGGTCCACACCACAGTGAGTACACTAGGTCCACACCACAGTGAGTACACTAGGTCCACACCACAGTGAGTACACTAGGTCTACACCACAGTGAGTACACTAGGTCTACACCACAGTGAGTACACTAGGTCCACACCACAGTGAGTACACTAGGTCCACACCACAGTGAGTACACTAGGTCCACACCACAGTGAGTACACTAGGTGTACAACCCACTTCAGTGTGTGTGTGTACTCTTCTGAGTGACGGTGAGTAATGGGTAGTAAGTAAGTTCTCAGCATATGTGGAAACTCCTTCAAAACTGTTGGAGAAGCATTCCAGGTGAAGCTGGTTGAGAGAATGCCAAGAGTGTGCAAAGCTGTCATCAAGGCAAAGGGTGGCTACTTTGAAGAATATAAAATATAAAATATATTTTGATTTGTTTAACACTTTTTTTGGTTACTACATGATTCCATATGTGTTATTTCATAGTTTTGATGTCTTCACTATTATTATACAATGTAGAAAATAGTAAGAAATAAATAAAACCCCTGGAATGAGCAGGTGTGTCCAAACATTTGACTGGTACTGTATGTGATGTGTGGTAATGAATAGTAGTGACTGCTCTAATGAAGTCTATCTGCTTTGTGTGCAGGGAGATGTGCTTGTGGGATGTCAACGATGGACGCTGTATTGAGTTCACAAAGCTGGCCTGCGCTCACACAGGGATCCAGGTAACGTATATGACCCTACATTTTCTCACCACATATCTGTAGGCCATGGCTCTTTCCATTTCTTCTTTCCTTGATTCCTCATGTCCCCTCTCCTTGGAGGAAAGCGGTTCAAGGAGGAAGTGAGGAAAGAACTGGAATTGAGGAGAAACAGATTGAGAAAGAGTTAATGGTTTATACTCTATCCCTTCTAAACCACACATGTCCTATTTTATCAACTCTGTATACAAATCACCTAATCCTCTCTCATGACCTATCACTACTAGTCTCATGACCTATCACTAGTCTCATGACCTATCACTAGTCTCATGACCTATCACTAGTCTCATGACCTATCACTAGTCTCATGACCTATCACTAGTCCATGGTGTATACTGTGTCTCTTCTAAGAGTCTAATTGACACCCTGTCCTGTCCTCTGCCTAGTTCTACCTGTTCACCATCAGTACGCAGTCTGCTGTCTGATGTGAAACCCTAGTCTCACGTTGCCATACCTCCAAAATCAAGTTGTGGTCACGCCTCCCTTGAATGGTCCGCTGGGCAATATTTTGATTGGATGTTACATTTCAGGTGTGGTCGACATTCTGTGAGTTATATTTATTGAAATTCAATAAATATAACCTAGAATATAGCCTGTATATAGCCTAGAAATTGAAAGTGGAGCTAAAACAACTGCCACCCAAGTCATATACTGTTCTCTCTGCCACCGCATGGCAAGTGGTACCAGTCCACCAAGTCTGGAACCAACAGGACCCTGAACAGCTTCTACCCCCAAGCCATACGACTGCTAAATAGTTAGTCTGGGTAGCTATTGGTTAACTATTTAACTATCTGCATTGAACTCTTTTGACTCATCACATACACTGCTGCTACTGTTTATTATCTATCCTGTTGCCTAGTCACTTTATCCCTACCTATATGTACATATCTACCTCAATTACCTCGTAACCCTGCACATCAACTCGGTACTGGTACCCTGTGTATATAGCCAAGTTGTCATAGACTCGGTACTGGTACCTCGTGTGTGTATATAGCCAAGTTATTACCTGGTACCTCGTGTATATAGCCAAGTTATTACCTGGTACCTCGTGTATATAGCCAAGTTATTACCTGGTACCTCGTGTATATAGCCAAGTTATTACCTGGTACCTCGTGTATATAGCCAAGTTATTACCTGGTACCTCGTGTATATAGCCAAGTTATTACCTGGTACCTCGTGTATATAGCCAAGTTATTACCTGGTACCTCGTGTATATAGCCAAGTTATTACCTGGTACCTCTTGTATATAGGCAAGTTATTACCTGGTACCTCGTGTATATAGCCAAGTTATTACCTGGTACCTTGTGTATATAGCCAAGTTATTACCTGGTACCTCGTGTATATAGCCAAGTTATTACCTGGTACCTCGTGTATATAGCCAAGTTATTACCTGGTACCTCGTGTATATAGCCTAGTTATCGGCACTCATTTTGTTTTTATTCCTTGCGTAATTTTTTTCTCTCTGCGTTGTTGGGAAGGTCCCGTAAGTAAGCATTTCACTGTCTACTCCTTTTCTTTACGAAGCATATGACAAATAACATTTGATTTGATTTCAAACTCTAAACTCACACATTGTTTACATGTTGAGCTATACATGTAAGTTCTCCAATTTTAAAATGATACCAGTAGACAAGGTATATGAGGCAAACCGTGTACCAGATTTTGTACATGCCTTTTTAAGTGCTGACATAAAATCGTTTAGTGCAAATCCAACCCTTGTAATTTAGGTACAGTATCAAAATAAGGACATGACAATTAGGCTACATGAGATGAGCATTACAGGTAACATTTTATGAGGGTCATTTTATTTAATTCATTTTAGCAATGTTGCGTGCAAAAATAATTGCTGTTTTCCCATAGATAAACAGTACATGGTTGCGCTATGTATCACTGACCCTGGATAAGCTAGCGACTGTGCTAACACAGCTAACCTTTTAGGTCAATAATATGCCGTTTTTTTTAATTAAGATTTAGTTGGTTTTATAGTCGGGAGGGAAATTGAAGTAACTAGCTAGTTAGTTATACCTCGGTAGCTTACAAGGTTAGCTGACTTGATCCTCATTATGGCTAGCTTCTACCTGTCCCTCACGCTAGCCTTTACGGCCAACTGTCACATCAAAATATTTATATTGCCGACATTGTAGACCATTTCTCCCCTCTTGCTGCAGCTTTTATTTCATCTGGAAATAACAGAGAAATGCTGTGAAAACCAGCGTACTGCAAACGTTATAAACTATTTTTTCACCAGTCAATCAATCAATCAATTTTATTTTATATAGCCCTTCGTACATCAGCTGATATCTCGAAGTGCTGTACAGAAACCCAGCCTAAAACCCCAAACAGCTAGTAATGCAGGTGTAGAAGCACGGTGGCTTGTTTTGTTGAAAGGTTTAGTCCTCACGCACTGTTGCTCCTACGGCACTAATCTAGCGAGCCGAGCACCTTTTGGAGCTCCGCCCAACAAAGGCATTTGATTGGTTTGATGTGTTGCGAGGTGTCACTGATTTACACCCTCTTTAGCTGTTTTCTGCCATGGAACTTTTTAATAATAATAATAATAATAATAATAATAATAATATGCCATTTAGCAGACGCTTTTATCCAAAGCGACTTACAGTCATGCGTGCATACATTTTTGTGTATGGGTGGTCCCGGGGATCGAACCCACTACCTTGGCGTTACAAGCGCCGTGCTCTACCAGCTGATGCTCTTATCCAGAGCGACTTACAAATTGGTGCATTCAACTTATGATAGCAAGTGGGACAACCACTTTTTTTTTCTTTTTTTTATGGGGGGTGGGGGAAGAAGGATTACTTTTATACTATTCCAGGTATTCCTTAAAGAGGTAGGGTTTCAAGTGTCTCCGGAAATTCCCCAGGATTCCCAATTTAGGGAAACCTGGTTGGCGACGTGGCTAGTGAAACCCTGACATTATCACTAGTCCATTGTTTATATTGTCTCCTTTATGAGTCTGTCACTGGTCCTGTCCTCTACCTAGTTCTACCTGTTCACCATCGGTATCCAGCGTGAGGGCCGTCTGCTGTGAAACTGACATTACCCAGAGATCATAGCTGCTACTAGCCTTGGCACTAACCCCAACCCTCCCTCTGCTCCTCTCCTCTGTCTAGTTCTACCAGTTCACCATCGGTACGCAGCGTGAGGGCCGTCTGCTGTGTAACGGACATTACCCAGAGATCCTAGTGGTGGACGCCACCAGCCTTGAGGTCCTCTACTCCCTCCTCTCTAAGATCTCTCCTGATTGGATCAGCTCCATGAGCATCATACACTCACATCGCACACAAGGTCAGTCAACTTCATACAATACTATGCTATGCATCATACGCTCACACCACACACACACACACACACACACACACACACACACACACACAAGGTCAGTCAACCATAGGGTTCCAAAATTTCAGGAACTTTCCCAGGTTTTTCAAAGATCCCGGTTGGATGATTGCCAGAAATCAGTAGGGAATAAGCAGGGAGGGAATCCTCTAACTGGGATTTCTGAAAATATAACTGAACTTTAACTGAACTTTGCGCCCCTAGTCCACCACCGCGGCTAACATCAGCCACTCTAGCGATCGTCTAGGAACAGTCCACTAACACTACTAAAGCCCTATTAGTTAGAGCTCTATTGATTATGGTAACGTTGTTCAACCGTCATGGTCAGTATGTCTGTATTGAGCCGTTGATAGTTGATGCAAACGGTTAACTCCTGCCTTAAAACCACTCAGACTAAAATGTATCGGTCTGTGCTCACGACCGAATTAGATTTGTACATGGCGTTATCACCCCAATTCTTCTTTTGCAAAAAAGCACTTATTAAACAAATATAGTCACTGTTAGACTGACAATGCCTGTGTGTGTGATATATTTTCAGAGGACACCGTGGTAGCGGTATCAGTCAGTGGGATACTGAAGGTGTGGATCATCACACAGGATCTCAGCAGGATGCAGGTAGAGTGGGACTGAGGCACATCACCCACGACTGGATGTCATTATGATCATGCTGTTAGCTACCACACTATGCTCATATTAACCAGGATTTGTTCCAGCTAATATCATGACTATTGGGACTGATTTTTATTGTTACTGGGACACATGCAGACAATTCAAATGTCTCTTATGGCTCTAATGTGGTTTTCGTGGACCCCCCCAGAACATTAGCTGGGTCGCTAAAGGGGGATGGAAATAAATAACAATGTTCAGTCCCATCTAAGTGTGTGTTTCTCCCTGTCCCCACCAGGACCTGGACCCAGTGTTTGAGGAAGAGTCTAAGCCCATCTACTGTGGGGGCTGTCAGAGCATCTCTTTCTGCACCTTCACACAGCTCTCTCTGCTGGTGGTCTGCTCCAAGTACTGGAGGGTAAGAGGCTGGATGGCATGCTCCCTGGGTCTCCCTTACTGCCCCCGGTTGGAACATTCATAGAATCACACTGTAGACCCTTAGATTTAAGCCTGGTCAAAGATCTGTTGATGCTCTATAACCAACTCGTCTGGTTGTTGTCAATATGACAGTAGGAGTTGGCAAGACGGCACAAATAGATCTGGGATTAGGCTACGGTTAGCGTAGCTTTGTTTTGAGTCTTTGGCATGGGGTTGCAACAACTCCTAATCTTTGACTAACATATCCTGAAATGTGTGTGTGTGTCAGGTGTTTGATGCAGGGGACTATTCCCTGCTGTGCTCCGTGCCCAGTGAGAACGACCAGTCCTGGACAGGAGGAGACTTCATCGCTGCTGACAAGGTCATCATCTGGACAGAGGACGGATGCTCCTACATCTACAAGCTCCCCGCTAGGTGAGGAGGAACAAAATAAACTGTATAGGAGAGATTTATTATGGTGTCTGTTATACTGATGTCTGTTATACTGCTGTCTGTTATACTGCTGTCTGTTATACTGGTGTCTGTTATACTGTGTCTGTTATACTGTTGTCTGTTATACTGCTGTCTGTTATACTGCTGTCTGTTATACTGCTGTCTGTTATACTGCTGTCTGTTATACTGCTGTCTGTTATACTGTTGTCTGTTATACTGCTGTCTGTTATACTGTTGTCTGTTATACTGTTGTCTGTTATACTGCTGTCTGTTATGTTGTCTGTTATACTGTTGTCTGTTATACTGCTGTCTGTTATACTGCTGTCTGTTATACTGCTGTCTGTTATACTGGTCTCTGTTATACTGGTGTCTGTTATACTGCTGTCTGTTATACTGCTGTCTGTTATACTGCTGTCTGTTATACTGCTGTCTGTTATACTGGTCTCTGTTATACTGGTGTCTGTTATTATGGTGTCTGTTATACTGCTGTCTGTTATACTGCTGTCTGTTATACTGCTGTCTGTTATACTGTTATACTGCTGTCTGTTATACTGCTGTCTGTTATACTGCTGTCTGTTATAATGCTGTCTGTTATACTGCTGTCTGTTATACTGCTGTCTGTTATACTGTCGTCTGTTATACTGTTATACTGATGTCTGTTATACTGCTGTCTGTTATACTGCTGTCTGTTATACTGCTGTCTGTTATACTGTTGTCTGTTATACTGCTGTCTGTTATACTGCTGTCTGTTATACTGCTGTCTGTTATACTGTTGTCTGTTATACTGCTGTCTGTTATTATGGTGTCTGTTATTATGTTGTCTGTTATACTGTTGTCTGTTATACTGCTGTCTGTTATACTGTTGTCTGTTATACTGCTGTCTGTTATTATGTTGTCTGTTATACTGTTGTCTGTTATACTGCTGTCTGTTATACTGCTGTCTGTTATTATGGTGTCTGTT